TTTGTTTATTAAAATGAGAATAATTCACAATGCATATTTAGATGAATTATTGCTACATGCAATAAGTAGATAGAAACGACTAACAAATCCCTTTTTTTCTAATTAGTTACTATTAATTGACTACGTAACTTTAAAAAATTGTCAGTTGAATTAAAATATCATTTACGAAACCTCAATCCCAACAAATAAATAAACATAAACTCCCAAAACAAAATCACAGCAGAGCACAGAAATCACAAAACAAATCCATAAATACCAGGTAAACATGAATCTCAGAAGGATAAAGTTTCAACAACTAAAATTAAGTATGTAAAACCAATTTCCATTTAAATTGTACACAGCGTTTGGTAGGGGAAGATCTGCAGTCCTAGTACAAAATAATGGAAACTCCACTAACTTCATATCTTTGTAGAAAGAAACTTTGGACTGCGAGACGGCTAAATTCGATTTATTTTACTTTACGATTCTAGACTGCCAGTGTCACTCGCGACCTTTGTTTAGACTTTTGCTACTTTAGTGTCAGAAAGGAGTTTTGTTTCAGGATTGGTTTATGAGTCTTTGTTTTTAAGAGTAGTATTACCAACCAAGAAGTTTTAAACTTGTTTTTAATTGGATTTTATTTAGAACACTGCGCTCGTTGAGTGTTCATAGTGCGAATGTATGAATAAAATAAATCTACGATGTATGTAAAATCCCTTACCCACTGAAGCGTAACACAGATTTATCCTAACGTTTGAAAAAATGACGTCATTTGAGCGTGCATCAATAGTTACCGATTGCGCCCAATTTCCGTATAACGCTCTTTATATACAAACATACGAGCATGAGAGAGACGTAAAAAGCTATTTTTTGTGTGTTCTATCTCTTTCTAAATGGGTAAACAGCGGGAATAGTGCTGTAGCTAAATGTACAAGTGATGCCACGCATCAGTGAATACCAGGCTTAAATCTATACATTTTACGATCGGATTTGTTTGTACACCTATGTATGTTACCTTTTATTTTATTTATATTTTGTATAAATTTCCAGCGGGTAAAATAGATAACAACTAATAGGTAGACTGTTTGGTTTTTATACAAGTGTTCAGTTTCGTTTACATCATTTTTATTGGACATAACGTAGAATACATTACACTCACTATGTGGTTAAACATGCTGCTTATAAGTCAGTACAAAGTTGCATCGTCCAAATAGTTTAGGGACGATCAATGCAACTAAGTCAAAACATAGCCATCAGCCATCATTGTCATTGTCCATCTACTATATTGTTAAGTGAAGGCTCATGCTAACGTATCTACATGAAAATTGAGGTTATGGTTAAACCGAAACTAAAGGACTACAAACTCTTTGAAATATGGACAGATTGTGTGAAGAATGATATGAAAGACAATGAAGTTTGTGATTATGTAGAATAAGAAAAACAAGATGTTGTACCAACCCCAAAGTGGCCTGGAACAAATACAAGAAGAAGGAGATATCAACGCCGTCTTAGACAGTGTTGTTTGAGACACCCATTTGTATGAGTGTGATAGATATAATGGAGTTCTACCGCGATTTCAACAATATTAAAAACGTTATGTCTTCGTGTTACTCACGTCACACTCTTTTACGAGGAGCTCGACTATTTTCAAGCCATGCTACACGACAGTCCCCGCGTCGAGCGTCGCAGAATGTTACTTTTGAATATAAGCCTTTAGCATGGCTTGAAACTAGTCTAGTTCCTCGTCAAACAGTTACGTGAGTAAGCCGAAAACATAATAATTATTATCAAAAACTTTACAAAGTACCTAAGTCTGTAATTTAAATATCCCGACGTATAGATACATGTGGGATAACATCACACGCCACAATAACCTCTAACACCGATGCATTCAAAGTCTATAATACCATCAAAATTCACATCTGAAATTGTCAATGTCCGTGCAATATCTCTATTACTCTATGAAAGCTTTTATGACGTCACAACTTAACTAAAATCGTCTAAAAGCAATCCAGTTTTAGTGTGAGTGGTACTATTCCGACGGACGTTTCTAACCATCCTGTTAGATAAGTTGTGGAGATATCCTTATTTTCCGCAATCGAGATTGGCTTAAGATAAATGTTAACTGGAAACTAGTTTTCTAATGTTAATTAGGTAAAGGGGATAATGATCTGTTTGCTGGGTTAGTGGTTGAATGATACGGTTTTATTTTTATTTAACTCTTTATGAGATAGTTTATCTGGTACAATTCAGTTCATCGTTTTTCCCTCATCTGTTTTTGCTGACGAGACTAGCACTTTTGTTCGATAAGAATACCGGTATAGCATTATCTAATATGACTTTGATCACAATCTTCCATTATAGTAATAAAAAATACACCTTTGGTCATATTAATGGTGGTGAAGAAATATAATCGAGAATCCTAAGATGAAGACTAAAAATTTCAAAATGGGCAAAATAGGAATTAAACCCAAAATCTTCGTCTTCGAACAGCCATTGTAATTCCAAATCCTGGCACCTGAAGTTGTTGAGCTATTATTGTGGCACAGTTCCAGATTCTATTCATAATTTCTTTATAATATTTTTTTTCTTTATAACCATTCTTTATAACCTTTTTATGGATATCGTATCGTGCTTAAAAATCGAAGCTACTACTAGAAAAAAACAAACTTTAAAAAGTATTCTACTTTTCACGAACTCAATATGATCAAAGAGTTTGTATACCGAGCATAGACTATAACAGTTATGTCATAAAGGAAAGCTTATTCGGGAAGTCCCCTTACAGCGTTTATTGAATATTATTATGGAAATTGCGTACTGGCAACCCCATACTCGTAGCGTTTGAGCTCCTACAGCTGAATGCACTTAGGCATCCATGCATCTATGAAATATTTAATGTCTTACACACGGTATTTTTCTGTGTACCGTATAGAAGTTTTATAAGGAACTTGGAGCGCATAAAATCTTTGCAAACTTCCTTTTCGGCTGTACCTATTTTGTTTGATAGCCAGCTATTTAGAATCGTGTTTAATGTTGAACTGTTTTATTTTTGTTTGTGAATTTATCAGTGTGTGCCAATCACCTGTAATGAATAATTTTAATCCTCATGCTTTTGCTTAGCGTGGATTGTAAGCTCAACTATCCAGCCGCAGGTCTCGGATTTACCTAATCTTCAGATCGAACAATTTATCCATATTTATTGAATGACTAACTATTACATTCTTATTTAAATAAAGTAGATAGATCCACTTTCAGTTTGCGTTGTTTCAAAACCTTTGGTTATCGCTTGGCACTCTAACAATTAAAAGAACACACAAAATAAAAAGAATCTAACCATGACTTTTCAAAGTAAACTCAAAATTGTTAAAGGATACTAAGTAGTCGTGTCAATAACTCCATTACATACCTACCTACTTAATATGACAGTTAAGTAAATATATTTTTCTTATTTGTTATTCTTATCTAATTTGTGGCAATCTTGTAGACACATTAATTGTCTGTGCGTCATAGTATATTTACGTGTGTATGTGTGTGTGTGCTGCAATATCATATTATAGTGACCTATAAATAAGAGCAATATTAGTCAATACTTACTTACTATTTCAATGTGGGATTAGAAGTCCACGAACAAACATGATATCATGAGAGACATGTAGTAACGATAGACTGAGCACAATAAATTTTTGTTGCCGCCCCTAGTCTGACCGTGAATGTCATAAGTGCTGACTACGAGAGAGACTGGGCAGCAGTGCTTCTAATAAATATGAATTTAAAAATTCAACTGTTTGGTGTTTGCATCGTCTGTCATAAATTGAGATTATAGGCCCTTTTGTTTATAAGTGAATTTATAGGACACGGCCTCAAAGAATCACACGTACTTATACATAAGTACATCAACAGCGTTTACGTGGACGCTGCTGTGCTGAACAAAGGAAGTCTCCCATGAAGAAGATTTGAGCATTAATCACCACGCTTGCTCAATGCGATTGGCGATTTAAAACTTATATATAAAAATTATAATGCCGGGTTTCCTCATGATGTATTCCTTCACCATTTAAAGAATACTGGTGTGGTTTTTATCTCATGCGTTGATGTTACTGGACCTCGAATCTGTCTAATCGTTGGCCGCCATATCCCAGAAAAAAAATTGCCCGGCGTTTACAAAATCTCGGGTTTGTATTGGTAGTTCGTACCTGTTTAGTGCAATCGTCCTACAGACAGTATAAATATTAATCAAGTTTATCAATAAGTTTATCTATTTTAGTATTACAATATAAAGATATGATCATATCAAGGTATGTTCTAGATACGGTAACTATGCAGATACCAATCGTACCGACAGAAAGCTTAATGGACTTATTGATTGACATAATCCTGCTAATATCATAAAGGACATTATCAGGACGTCCACCAACAAGGTACAAATGATAAGGGGCCGAGGAAGCCCTCGGATAGTACCTATTCTGTGCAGTTTGAAAGTCATTGTGGAGCTCTATGTATAGCACTGGAGGTCTTATAGCTTTAAATTAGATTTTAAATCTACGAGAGGAACCATCAGTCAGTTTTTCTCTAAAGTTTTAAGGCAATTATTCCGCGAGTCATTACAAATATTCAAGAAAAAAAAATCGAAATATTTTTCTTTGCAGAATGTAACCGTTGACTATACCCGAGTCAAGAATATTTTTACAATGAAGTAGCACCAAATAACACAGTATTATCGTTGTAACAATAACCTATTAAGCACCTTACTACATTTGAAATGAGGTTTAAAATACATTGCAAGGACATGCTACGGGCCCGAAGCAAAATAGTGACGTGCATTTGTTTGCAGTCGCAACCGCAACAGCGAATCCACTAACGAACTTATTATTCGAAATTCGAAATTGTAATCCGTAGAACTAGAGGTGGGAAGTACCTGCAAATGTGCACTGGCAGGAAATGTTCTGCCTTTTGTGTAGGTAGTTAACTACTGACTAATGAAACTAGCAATTACAAGGATGAGTCTAATTTAAAAAAGTACAAAAAATATCACAATATTAAACCAGTAGTGCAGGATGAATTTGTGACAAAAACATTTTATACATTACCTACCTATATTCAGAATTTCAATCTACCTACATGAGTTGCACAAATATTTTACAGAATGTTTGACTGTCTATCTAAATTAATTTTTAAATACTTACCTTAATAGTTGCCTACGTAACATAGGTTTAACAAAAAGTATAACTTAACTAGGTCACCTAGGATAGGTACATCACTTGGTTCACAAAGTGAAAGAACTAAAAAGAAAGTAAAATTTTCCATGAAAATAAAATATCTACTTACCTTCGTATTTGTTACAATTTCTAAACAAGCGAGACTTGACGAAGAAATGTTACGGTTTATAAAAAGTTTCTTCATTTTGTACAAAGTATTCTAAAAGTTTTGCAATACTTATGTCACATAATACCTACATTGGCTCATGAACTTACACAATAATATCAAAGGACGCTTTGTTTCGTCTCAATTTTTTTTTCTGAAGGACTCTCAAAGTAGTCTGTAAACTTTTGCAACGTGTGTGTCAAAAGTTACCCATGAATAATAGGTAGGTAGGTAGGTATTTTATTTTATTGTAATCTGAGTACTTACAAAAACGGTGTCTAATATCATCTAGATAGATTTAAGGTACCTAACTGGATAAATTGTGATAGTACCATATAAACCATACGGTTTATGTTTGTATCAGTATTAAATTATCCTAAAAGCAGTTTTATTATTAAACTTATTCTCAAACATCTGATTATGTCATCCAATGTAGTAAGTGATGCACTGCGACGAAGGGTTGGCCTGGTGTTCTGTGATTACAGGTTTTACCTATTAGAGATACTATTAGAGACACCAGCTCAAGTTTAATGTGCCAATGTTTGGTGTATTTATGTTAATTGATGTTGATGTTGAAATTAATAAATGATTTATTCTTTATTATCAAATTTATGAGTGAGAATGAATTAGGCCTCCCTCAATTAATATTTTTAACTAATTACTTACTGATAATTTTAGTCTACAAACAAAACATTTTGTTACTAGCGACATCTATTTACTGGGGGTCGCAGTAACAACAAGCAATGGTAAGGTACAGTTACTGTAAATTAGACTTATTATGAGTTGGCGCGCACTAGTGACTTTTGTCACAATTTTTATTGCTTACGTGCTGATTGATCCTGATAAAACGCAAAATCCAATGAATATGCAATAAAAAATTAATTAATCTTAAGTTAACTTGTAAGATTTATGATCAATTCAGTCGATTGAAATGTGAATTCAATAATAGGATTGCTGAGTTTTATAATTCATTAACTTGGTATGCAATCGTTGTTTGTTATTAATTTTAACACAAAATGTAATTATGTGGTCAGTCAATATTAAATTTCCGAAAATTCTTAATTCAGAGTACCTAAGGCGCAAATATGTATATAGGTTTCTAATATCAAGTGCATAGTATTGTAACACTGAGTTATGTTTAATTGAAATAAGTATTAACAGCGAAATGAAACGTTAATGGTCACATCCCTAGAGAACACAAAACGACTTCAATGTAGGCACATCACTAAGACGTCAAAATTTGCAAAAAAAACTTCAAGCTGTTCGACCAAGTTGAAAAGTGCGAAATTGTTTTAGGTTAACGAATAAACAAAAGCTCTTAAATATTTTAGCATTATCATAGCCGGGCGGCTGAGACGATCATGAGCACAGTGCGTGTTTAACAAAAATAGACTTTTGTACATTTTTATGTATCGTGACGTGTTATCAGGGCTAACGTAGTTTATACAAATTGTTGCCGAGTTAAACATTACAGTATTCTCTCAGAAAAATTGTGTTGTGACAAATAAAACACTGTAATGTTTAAATCTTTGTTGAGCTCGGTAATCACTCAGGCCAGCTGTCAAGAGGTGGGTAAGTTTTTGATTATTATTCAAAAAGGTTTAATTACACAAGTCAGTTAATTGAAGTGCATCATTGTTGACGAATGTAATGTTGTCAATGCGCTATATTTTTAATCAAATGCCCTTGATTTGTCCGCCCTTGAACTGCAGCAGTACGTCACAATGCGTCTTTGCGGCCTTCGCATTCCGAAAACACCTGATAACTTCGTCAATGAACGAGATCATCTTAAACATTACTTTCCATACTCAAATTAACAAAGTATGTCTCCAAGTTCAACCATTATTAGATAACCAACCTAACCTCTTCAACCTTTGTGAGGAATTAAAAAATAAATAAGATTATTACAACATATCATGCAGATAAAAATAACATGGTACAGATAATAAAAAAATGTTAACATGAACTTAATTTTATATGAGCACACTGTTTCAACTTACCTTGAAATTCATTTAATTGCAGATATTTCCATAAAATCCTTTCATTAAAATGAAAACATGTCAATCTTGAATGAAGAAACTTGCTAATGTAAGATAACACCAAGTGAAATATTTTATATTACTTAAGTATACAAGATAATATTATTCTTATCAGTTACGTCAACTATGGTGACGGCCACTGTTCAGTTCAATAGGATTCTTCACAACAAAATGACAACTCGTCGGGTAAAATATTTTTTTTAATTTATACTTGTGCAACCACTCATTATATATTAATTAGAATGCAGTTATCTTTTTCAATGTGCTTGTGAATTGTGCCATGATTGTGAATAAAATGTGTTGGTTAATGGAAAATGTGATTTAAATACAGGAAGACATGGTTTGGAATAAGTATTCTGATCATTTATTATTCTGACACTTATTAGTAATTTATGTTAATTACTGGCAGTTAAGAGAAAAAATATAATGTTGGATAACTCACAACCTCTTTGCGATATTCAACATAAATTTTATATTATCTGTGTATTGAATATATAATTACCTTAGTGCTCCTATGTTAATTGTTTATTCTTAGATATGTGTTGTTATTGTCACTCACTCACAAGATGTTCAGGCCTTGAATCAAAAGGACTTCTATTTATACACTCATTAATATTAAAAAACCGGTTTTCATACCATCTGTAAAATCATCTCGAATTCATTATTGTTGCAGATGAGCATTTAGGTAATTATTTTATTTCCCATGGTATACAATTACTAAAAATGAAGTTATCAAAATCCTTAATTTTGATTATTATCTAAGATAGACAAAAATTATGCCAAAATATTTACCGAGCAAAGAAGAAAACAACCGAAACAATTAATAAATTCATTATGTAGTAATTTGAAAGTAATGTTCCCTAATATATAATGATTATATTGTATGACTGTGGCATAAATTCTGCATTTCAAACATACATTAAAAGTCACCTTCCTTGACCTTAGCGGTTTCGGCAAAACCATCTATCATAGTAGTACATTGTTTAGACAAAAATGTGTAGAACTTATCTATAGTGTATAGATATGTAATCACAGCTGATAAAATGTGGCGTGGTGTCTCAAACGAATGTACGAATTTTCTTTTATCCTATTTCTGTTAGTTAGTTATTTAGTCTTATAAGACTGACTTGTGCCCGAGTTTTGCCCTTGCTATTTCTTTACTAAGTTTGGCTTCGCACAAAATAAACAAATGTAATGATGTGTGAAAATTCTAAGTTAATTGACTGCTAACTGGTAATTTTTGCTGTCTCTAATTAGAATTAATATGTCATTTGGATTGATCTATTGAAATCCCACTTAACCATGAAACATAATAGAAGTAGGTATTTCATTCATATATAATTATGTTATGTATGGGGAAAATGCGATATCAGAATAATATGGTAAATAAATACATACTTATTGTTGTTGACTGTGTCAATACAATAATTTAGTACTTAAAATAGGCTGCCCAATCTAGCAGAATATTGAACTCTAAAATGTGTTTAAAAATATACTTGAATACTTTATACTTAGAATTGAATTTTCAATGTGCATAACTCTTCAAAAGTCCCTTTTGAAAAGAGAATTAGAAACCGAAGTACTACCAACTCGGTTAGATTACATAATTTTTGCATAATATCAGTTGCATGTGCTATGAATATTGTTTGGCCTTGGCCTTGTAACAACCTTGTTGTCTGTAATCATTGCCAAAGGTACTCATCGTAATAAAAGGTAGTTATTATTTATACGGATACTACACATAAACCCTGATTGGGTGAAATAAAATAATAATATATAACTTACTCCGTAGTAAAACTTGAATTCAGTCTTCATTTTGACTTGGGTGAGATAATGCGTGTACCATACGATAAATAAATTAATTGTTTTGTGCAAAATTATATTGATATTATGAATGAGATAAGTTTGATCCGGTTGTGTATGTGGCTGTAAGAAATGGAGAAATTAAATCAGTTTAAAGTTTATTGTTCGAGTTATTTTCTATTTGTAAGTACCTTAAACTGTCAAACACCAAGCGGTCACCGGTGACCGCAACCTATTGTTCTATAATTGTGTCTACAAAACCGGTACTCAACGAGTTAATAATATCGAAACAATAGGGATGATGACGTTCCTTATTAATTTAGATAACGAAAAAATATTAGACACATTTTTATTTTGTCATATAAGGTTACAATAGTCAGACAAAACAAATCAAAATTTAGGAGTGGGAGCTAAAAAGTCATTTAACGTTTAAAACGTCCCTAGAAGTGAATTCACGCGATATTTCTAATGTATATAGCGTCGAAAGTATTTGTTTCTGTAAGTAAATAAAAAATACGTGTCTAATGTTTTAAAATAATCTACCAGACGGACATTGAAATAAAAATTAGTCATCTACCCTATCATAAATTGCGTAGAATTGTACTTTATTTTTTAGACATAGGTAGGTACATACCTAACTGGTATAAAAGAGTGTACCTACAAAAGCAACTAGGTAGGTACACCTCATGGGCTTGCCCATCGGGCAATTACAGCATACAAAGTAGTATATATTTTTTATTTTTCCTTTATTAATTGGTCCTTTGGAAAAGCCCTACCAGGGTAATTTAACAAACTTTTCTTACATCACTATAGCCTCTTTTTTATTTTAGTAACTACATAGGTACTCACTGAGTAAATTAATATTCTGTAAATCATATTTATACCTTCGTTTAAATAAGGACCATTCTGCCTCTGTGCCACTAAACCGATGACAAACATTGAACAAATAAAGAAGCAATAGTTGGAATTGATCACCAGTTTCCTTAAAACAAGCCAAATTTGAATCTATCGGCTAGTTAATAAGGTTGAAAGTTCATTGAATACTAACTATATTACTACACTTCCTTATCAGATACCAACAAATTTCTGTAACGGGTTATAAATATTGTTATTGAGACATAAGGTTCAAAATCGTATGAACACAATGATTTTTTCACTTGAGTTGATGTCTTTGAATGGCCGTGTGTATCAGACGTAACGGAATATTATATTTGTTTTATATATGCGATAATAAGGTTCTTTATTAAGTAGTGTTATGTGCAAAAAGCCAGATTCGTGCAGTTTCATCTGCTTTTGACTCTAGATTACACAGATCTTTGACATTTGTTGTTTGATGACTATCTTATTCTTTTATTCATTGTCTCATTTGAGGTAGGTTAATGTAAGAGTATATTGTGTTGTGAGATTTTACCATACTTGATGTTGGTAAGTGAGGTGTCAAAAGGAACCAATATTATAGTTGCATTGATTCTATTTCTTAAATTAAACAATATAATTTCAATAATTTAACAAAGCTTTATATTCATCGTGTTGTATACCAGATACAAATTCTTAAAAATACTTTAATTTAATACTAACACAGCAATTGTACAAGAATATTTTTTCTTACTTATTTATAAATCAGTATAAAACATATTAAGCCAGATCAATTTTGTAACCATATAGAAAATGGTTAAGTATAACTACATACTTAAAAGTAATCAAAGTTTGGATAAAAAAAGATTTTGTTAAACTAATGAATAATTCTAGAAAAAAATCAGTCTCAAAAATATTACAAAATCATTGCATGATTTAACTGCTTAATTTACGTCAAAATGATCGTACATTAAGCTGCTTACATTTTTTTTTTTTCAAATATAACAGGACAAGGCGATGTGATAAAATTAGTTTGTATTTCGGAATGCCACAAGGAACTATTTTGGGTCCATCACTAAATGTGAAGTTTTAATTACTGAGAGCTACTAATCTTACAAGTGCAGCAACAAGGTACTTCGTAGGACTTAATAACAATTTCTTTTTTATTATAATCGTAAACAAAATAGTTGCGGAAAGTGTATGATGTCTCGCATTTCGATTTCAAGTTAAAAGAACTTAAACCAAAGTGCTGGAAGCATTCTTCTTTCTCAGAGTTCTCTGTACTAATTAAATCATTCCTGTGGAAAAATTAAAAAAAGAATTAGAGAGATCACAGTAAGACAGACAGTAAATTGTAATAAGTTTTAACTATCTGAGTATGAGTTATTTTTACGTCAACGCGATCGGAACTGCCGCCGTCTGATTGGCCGAACGTCATAAATGTGTCGTTAACGTAAAATAAACTTGCACTAGGTACTTTGGTAAATAACGATGCAATTCAGATGTTTGCGTTAAATGTTTTGGAAGAATAAATAATAAATTATAATACTTACGCGCAAGAGACGATGTCGACGGGCTGCTGAATCATATCATTTTGGATTATGTAGTCTGCTGATTGCGTGTCATTGGAATGACTGAAGATATACATCTGCTCACGCTAAAAGAGAAAAAAAATGTTGTATTATTGAATCATTAAGTCTTATTCGCCTAGAGTTCACCTACGGTTTTTTTTTTCAAGGATAATGAACTTGTAATATACATAATAATAAACTGGTCACTTCTATTTCATAGGGTTTTACATATTACTGTTAAAAGGTTGGTTCACTTCCATCAACCCATACCTTATCGGACAACAACGTAGACAATGAAGGATTTAGTCACTAACATTAATTTAAAGATAAATTGAATTTAAGATAAGATTAATTTAAAGATACATACCTTCTTTCTGGAAGGGCAGTTATGCCAGTCGCTCTCAGGAGAAAGTTCTGTCGTTCCCATCGTGACATCATCTCCGATCCGATCAGCAAAGTTTTGCTGTAAAATAACCAGAAACCTTTAATACCACTTTACTACATGACCAGTAACTAAAGGTTACTCTTATTTATATTTACTTTTACTTCATAGTAATAAGGTTCAACTTACAGCAATAAATTGATTATTCAAAAGTTTTTTGACCTCATCTTGCATTTCGTCGTATCCTTCTGGTTTAATTGAACAAAAACCTTTCCCTTTACATTCTTCGGGAATTTTTAGGGTTGGTTCTGAAAATAAAGTAATATTGTTAATATCTCTCCGCTGTAGCACAATGATGATGTACCCTATCCGTAGATAAAGAGCTTGACTTACTTTTAGGTGCAGCACTGCAGACAGTCACCAATACCATCAGCTATAAAAAACAATAAAAGTAAATCATTAGATATCAGTTATCATATTAAAATAAAATGCCAATTATGGATACGGTAAAAATGTTTATTAAATAACTATAATTATGACTAAATTGTGGTTTGATTAATGATCAATTAGATTAGCTAAATAAAATTAAAATAATTACCGCAAACAAAGACTGGAGAGTCGCCATTGTTAAAAAACAAATATTTGCAACTTAGACTTTTTTAGAATTTACAACACAGGCTGTAATAGCACTATGGAATGAAATGGATCAATTTAAATAATTTAAATGATGTTATGACTGCCTTTGATGGCAGTTCTAAATAACTGATGGTGCTACGTTCGACACTCGGGTTTATATATGATGAGCCGTATACGCGCACTATTAAGGAGCTTTTTCCTGCTCTTGGGGAAAATGAATTCAGTACATGTTAGTAATATTGGAAGCGAACGAACGTAATACGTCAATTGCGTATTAATGCACGTCATTTTAATTATGACAACAGTTATACGTGTTACGACTATTTTGCAATGCAAATCTCCGTTTTTTAATTCGATCACCCCTTCCCTCACGTCGCGTATCGATACGAGGGTAGACTCGTTATTCTTATTACTGTAGCCCACGTTACACTTCGTGTCCAGACGTGTTTATATATATGTGCTCGCTCGTTGTGCTCTACATTGTCTCCATGCAGTTTTATTTTCTCACTGTCAAATTTTATTTTCACTTATCGTATCTACGTAAATGGCACTTCCATTATTATCTCTGTTTCAATATTAAGTGTCATCCAAGATTTTTGGTATCTACTGATAATTCCGTTTCCATGTCAAACTTCTCGATATGTTCTTTGCGTAGTTCCAAGTTCTTACTATTTAATCCAAGTTAATCTGGATCATTACCATTTTTACTCAATAAATGTAAACACACCTTTACATTTAAACCTAATGTAATAGAACTTTAAAGTCTTTGAACAGTGAATGAGTCACCACTGAATACCTATTGCATTATTTGCACTTATCTCGTATTGAAATCAGTTAAGTACAAATTCAAAAGAATTCATGACTAAGAAAGAATACAATTCATATCAATTGAAGTTCTCAGAACTGCTTTCGGAAGTAGGGTTCCCCAGTGTACTGAGGTCATTTTATTGCGGAATATGATCGAAACGACAAAAATTAAAGCATTTTTGACAAGAAGTCTTGAAGTTTTCACGTTGCGTTGGAGAACCACCTTCGACCAGGCCAAGTCAAGGCCCTTAGATGGAGAGATTGGAGCCCATACCGTTTTTAGAACCGTCTGATAAATTAGATCTGACTGATATTTTGATTATGATTAGGAATGCATAAATAATATAAACACAACTAGATAGTCTTTCCTATTTTTAAACTACCAAATAGCAGATATACCTAAGTGCGGATAAGAAATGAACTTATAGTAGGTACTCCACCAAAGTAATGTCAGGTATCCGCATCACAATATAACGGGTCATATCCGCCGTGGGAACAGTTCCCTCGTCATTTTTGTACCCACACGCATATAGGACCGGTTTTTGCGAGTTATCACGACACTATGACGTAGTTAAAGAAGATTGAGGAACTATAGAAATAGATGTCCGGTTTATTCTACGTTAACCATTAAAGAAAATTTAAGGAAAATCCAAACAAAAATCGGATGTACGGATAGATGTAATAAGAAGTTGAAATCCATATCGTACTTCAAATGTTTACCTAATATTTCATTCTTGCAAATCATAATCTAAAATCTCAGGTTCGATCCCACTTTTTGATAGAAATTCCATAATTATCCACAGTTAATGCCAAAAACGGCCATTTTTAATGATATATAGGTACATAACCTCACGCCTGTCTGGCTAGACAGACGATGACGAGACAATCGGACGCCAATTGTTACGTTTTTACATACCTCTTTCGCTTCATCAAGTCTTTTCATGCATGCTCGTCGGTTACGGGTACTGGTTGATGTAATAATATGGCCGTCTAGGGCACCCTCTACGGATGGTCCCATTCATATCCACTCTGTATACTTCTTTCGTAAGTGCGCTTTCATCCATCCTTTCTACGTGTCCAGACCATGGTAACATTTCCTTTTCAATCCTTGTCACTTCATCGTCTTTCATCAATCCACATCTTTTTCTAATAATACTATTTTTCACTCGATCATCTTGCTAATTAATCAATTTTTAGTCCCTGTCTGAAGCATCCTGAAAAATCTAATAACTTCTATCAGTTCCTTTAGACACATGGCTAATAGAAAAGTCCTTCAAAATCAAAAATACGGGATTGACGAATGACGCAGACGTGTTCTGGTTGGTTTCTATTTGGTTGTCTTCTCGACATTCTATTAAACTATAATTGATGACGTAAATGACGTAGTAGTTATTACTAAAACTATTAAATATAATATTTTTTTCTTACACTTTCTTTAGGTAATAACAATATATAAGTCAAGGGTTTTTACCCGACATGATTTAACCATATTTAGACGTAGGCTAGCCACAGATGATTTGATTTGAAGTAAATAACAAACATAATAATGGGATTCCAATAAACACTGTTATGATGCAATTGCCTACACATAATTTTCTATATTTTTCTGTTTATATATGAATCTAGTGACCTCACAAGTTATGTGACGTCATCCATTACATGTAAAACGATTGAACTAGCTACAATAAGTAATTGTCATTCCTTGTTTTATAATTGCAAATTAACTGCTTCGTTGGCCGAGTGGTCGCAAATGCGATTGCCGGGCAAAGGGGTCCCTGGTTCGATTCCCGGGTCGGGCAAAGTATTACTGGGTTTTTAAAAAAGTCTCAGTAGTAGCGCGGAGTCTGGAATTGTGCCCGGTATATGGCAATAGGCTCACCCCCTATTACCTCTATATGGGACTAATAACATAAATAGTGAAAAGTGGGTGTTACATTGTACAGTGGCATAATGTGCACCTACCGACGACCCCTTTTCGGGGATAAACATAAAAAGCGTGATGTTATGTTTTATAATTGCAAGTCAAAAGTCGCAATCGTTTATTTTAATTAGACCCACTAGGCACTTTTGAACGCCAAACAAAAAAATAAATAAACGTGAACTTAAACTCAAACTCAAAAGCATTTATTTCAATTAAACCATAATTTGGTACTTTTGAAACGTCAACAAATATGAAATATATAATAGTCTGTCAGTCTGTCCGTCAGTGAAGCTAGGTGCTCGTTCCAAAATGTCGATTCGAGTGGAGAAGAAGGAGCAAGAAACTCCATTCGTTACTCTTTTAAAAAAAGTGAGTGTCGGTCAGTCCTCTAGTGAAGCTATTCGCTCATTCCAAGGTGTACATTCCTATGGAGAAGAACGGGCAAGAAACTCCCTAGGTTACTCAACTTCCTTTGCTTCATAGTTGGGTTTCTACTCGATTAACCAGCCAGTAATTTCCACTTGTTTATACAATACGACGTTATATTAGTTACATAGAGGACTCGGGAATTTACTGTATGAGGTACAGTCCAAGTACGGGTATAAGGCCACACAGAAAGACGTATAAGATAATAACTAGTATTTACTAACAGTTCCTCTAACGTTGTTACAGTTATTGTGTTGCCTTTTTCCTATTTGAAATTAATAAATCCTATGTTTGTACTCAGTCTGAGAATGAAAATATGTAGTTTATTATAATAGCTAGTCTTGAGGACTCTATCCACGTATTGTGTTCCATTTTTGAGGCACGAGTCTGCAACTTACGATGATTTATCAAAAGATTGTGTTATAGTATGTTTCTGAATCACTTACAGGTTGTTTTATTACATATCTAATATCTTAATTAATTATATGAAATTGTCCACAGGGGGCTGGTTATTTAAAGCGGGCGGACACAGATCGTCTACATGAGATATTCTTGAAGTTCGCCACCGTCGACAGGAACGGTGAGAGGTTCATCACCAGTGAAGATTTTGTACGCAAGTTTTTAGGATTATTCGAAGAAGGTTAGTATTTTTAGTCATTTCTATCTAATATGACTTTTTAACGAAATGTCTTTGTTTTTTTTAAAAACACCACTAGTTTACTAGCCAAAATCGACGTATAATTTACGTAGTGATACGACGGTCTCGCCGAAACGACGTGAAACAAAACTTGCGTTGTGTTTCGTCGTGTGAATGAGTTTACCGAAGGCCCAATTACCCCCTAAGGCTGGTCCTAATCCCCAAAAGGCAGGTAACGCTCTTGTAACGCCTCTGGTGTTTCATGTGGCCATGGGGAACGCCGATTGCTTACCATCAGGTGATCCGTCTGCTCGTTTACCGGCTTATTCCATAAAAAAGTTATTTACCACAGCACCATCTTCCATTACTGATTGATATAAATCTAAGCCGCACTAAAAATAAAAGTCAGTCCCCAATATTGTAGAATAACTATTAGAACCACAGATACGTAACAAAATCTAATTAATTTACATAAACCAAAAATTTGCGAATTTTATTTCTGTCTTCTATATGCTAGCTCTAGACTACCAAACTTTCCATAAAATGTGTTTCTATCTAAAACAATGGACTTACACGATATCTTATTATCGTCAGATAATAATATATTCAAATACTGGTTCCGACTGCCAACAGCCAATCGATAACAATAAGTTTATCAATAACATAATTCGGTTATGACAAACCTCTGTATCTCTTGGCGCTCTATTTATAGAACTGAGGTTGTGTCCACTGGGGAGTCTGTGTCACTGTCCATTCCTGTAGACTTAATATTTTTATAGGTAAATACCTGCTCTGTTTGCGAAATTATTATGATCGTTCTCACGAGACCTACCTTTAAAAATATTGAAAAGATAATATTTAAACAGATAATATTTTGTTTTATGAGATGTTTTGTCTCTTTAAATATTTTCTTGTTCGCTCGCGTGCGATTTCGGGCATTAGTATAACTAGATTATAAAAGAGTATGACTCTGCTATATTTAATTCCTATTAACCCTCAATTTCCATTAAATAACTCTTTAAACTTACTACAAATAACATTTACTTAGTTATTACACAAAACCTAATCAGTTTAATAAGAAAAAAAAACACCTAATTACCTTATCAATCTCCATATCATAATTATCACGCTATACACGTACTATGCGTGTGCGCAGCGTGCACGCCGAGTGTAAAGTAATTTACTTGCGAGTCATCGTAATACTTGTTATTATAGTAAGGATACTTATCTGGAAGATTGATTTATCAAACACCTATATTACACAATGTTGTATTATATCTGTATCTTTATTTAATCAGCTGACTTATTCATTAATTTTACTTTAGTCTTTCTTCAATGAGGCATACGACCTTGCCTTTGATTTTACCAGTATTCTGAAAAAATGATTTGTTAAGTTACGCGTGTTCATAGGTCGACTAAAGGACTGCACATTTAACAGAGATCGGACAGCAGCGCTCTCTGATAAACCTGAACCTTTTATACTGCGATCTGTAACCCGCCTATCCAGGGTGAAGAGCCCTTCTTCAGGCCTTCTTTTTATGGGATAAGCCCGTAAACAAGCAGACGGATCACCAGATGGTAAGCAATCGGCGTGCACGAGTGCGTTACCGGCCTTTTAGGGATTAGGAAGTAGGATTGTTGACGATTCAGGGATTGGGGAAGGGGGAGGGGGTAATTGGGCGTCCGTTAACCTCAATCAGACGACGTAAGCGTTTTTTCACGTCGGTTTTCTGTGAGGCCTTGGCTGTGGGCTCTCGTCGACTGCTGATCTGCATGAAGTAGTATTAAAAAAATTTTTTCGTGCTGCTTACTGTTCCTACCTCATGAAGATAATACGACAGTTACCGTACTGTGATTGTTTCTAAGTAATCTACGTAAAACGTTTCTCATAAGCCTGAATGGGGATATTGTTTGTCTAAACGTTTGAGTCATAAAAACTTATAATATTGTCTAATCGGAGTATGATCTGGATGAGTCATGAATCTATGATATTACTAATATTTCTTTATATTATAATTCTTTACATATAAATTGTCCTCAAGTTGTGTTGTAGGTATTATATGTAAAACCGTTTATAAAGGATATTGAAATATTGACTCAGAGCTGACCCAATTTTGTCCAGTCGTTAATTTTCCCTATTATTGTTTATGGTGATGTCTGTTATTACGACCTGAATGCAGATCTCCTCAACAAACTAGACAGACTTCTGAATAACTGCATTCGATTCGTGTTCAACCTTCGTAAATATGATCATGTTTCTGCACAGCGCTTGCAATTAAAGTGGTTACCCATACGCCAACGTAGGGAGCAAAGGGCTTTAACTACTTTATTCTCTCTTCTTGAATCCCCTTTTTCTCCTAACTATCTATCCACCTATTTTCAATACACCAGTGCAAACCACAGTAAATACCTTCGTTCTTCCAACAATCGCCATCTACAGTGTGTCAGTCATCGCACTGATTTTCTTCATTCTTCTTTCTTCATACAATCTGTTATTCTGTGGAATGCACTACCCACGGATATCAGGACGGCGTCCAGTCGCTTAGCTTTTAAGATAAAAGTTCGGGAGCATCTTCTTCAACAATTGGTAGATTCATCTCAAACCTAAACCTCTTTTAATTTAATATTTTGTATTATATTTTATAATGTACATATATACTTCTATATATATATTCATTATTTTTTATTTATATATTTACTTTAATATTGTATACATAATTATTGTTATATGTAAGTATGTATAAGTTTTCAAATATACCTATATGTTTAGTGTTTATTGAATATTCTGATTGTAAGATTTGTTATTTATTACACTGGTACATTGCCTATTTATAAAGGTTTAAATCACCTGCTACTTTCATCTCTGCACTGCTTAAAGGTTGACTGGGAGACAATGCCCAAGGCATTAAGTCCACCTGTACACACTTGTTGTATGAAGTTGAAATAAAAAAAAATAAAATTTTGCCGCTATTGAGTAAAGCCTAAAGATAGAAAACGTCAAATTTCAGTAGAATCAACAGTCATAAATGGCTGCCACAAACGCTGGTAGAAAGGTCTGCAAGTACTTAGGTTGTCGGATTGGATTCCTAGGTTTCGATCGGGGCTGCGGACAACCGCAAGGGTTACCCTAGATTCGATTTGAAGCAAGAGTTAGAACAGGGTAGTTTTTAGTTAGTAAGGGTCTGGTACTCTCTCGCCGTACTCAGGGTGAAAAAAGTGATTTAATGATCTTCCCCTCTGACAAAAAAAATGTACGAAAACGTTAGCAGTATAATTTTACGTAGTATGCGCGGTTACCGAAATAATACCTACCCAATAGACTGTGTAAAAAAGTAGTGATCAATAAAATATGCACTTACGTAGTCCTATGTAGATTAAAATTAAAAAAGTATGACGATGACGTAGTGTTATGGGAAAGTATGACGTGTTATATAAGGGGACCTCTGCGGTGACCTAATAAATCAATGATTCCTCTTAATTACGTATGTACTATGTACTCATGCGTACGCATACCGTGTGCATATTTTTCTTAAATTTTCCTGGAATGAGTTATTTATTTACGTATTGCGTATGTTTAAACAACACATTTTTGCAAAATAGTACCTAACAACTAGAGGATTCGATCCCGGCCCATTTTTCCAGTCCCGGAATTTCGGTATTATCTAAAGTGAATCCCAGGATCCCGGGACAGTCCCGGGAAAGAAGAAAGTAACAGAAAGACAGTAATTTATAAATCAACTTTTAATCATCAGTTCAATCTACAAAAAACGAAACAAATATAATATTTTCTTCTAATAAAATAATAAATAAACAAACAAGGAAGGAACTTCTTTACATAAAGTGTAATCGTTTGTTTATTTTGATTCACATAAAATCTTTAAAAAATCAACTTCTAAACACTTGTTTAGATAGACATTACAAATGACTTAATTATAAAGAGATCAGTAATACAAGGTACTTTATAATTTATAAATTATTTCTTTAAACTTCGAAAATGAAATCGAAGAAATAGTAAAGCATCCAACGACTCATCAGAGAGCTTACTTCTTAATTTGTTGCACAAATATGAAGAGGCAGAAAAAGCGCGCTCAGGCTCAATGGAAGTTGGAGGAATCGTCAATAAATTTTTATAAGTCTTCTCCAAATTATAACCTCGTGTGGAACTAGCTTCATAAAGATTCATTTTTTGGTTAATGATCTTAGGAAGATCCGTTAGCAATTACAAATTAAATCAGATGTGTAAACGAGATGGGCGTCAAAACTTCTAACGTGCATATTTTTATTCTACATCACAAAAATGAATCTCAAAATGTATTGGTAAGAGCATAAATTCCAATCCCGAAAATCCCGGGATAATTAAAAAATAATCTCGAAAATTTCAGTCGAATCCTTTACTAACAACACTGTGTTAGTTTCGTTCCTGCTATTACTAAGTATTCTGCAATTTAATGACGTCAAAGATGTCCAAGTTTTACCCATATTAATGTGTCCTTTTACCTTTAAACTCTAGGTTCATTTAGCTAGTACTGGTCTGACCTAATAATGTAGTATCCTAAATATTATTTTAATGTCCTTGTGGTAGATTAATTTAAAACATTAGACACGTATTTTTTCTTTTCTCACAAAACTAAAAGATATTTTCGACAGTATTTAAAATAGAAATATCGTGTGACATCACAGCGTGCTACATTTTGTGACGTAACGACCCACTCCTAATCTTAACGCCATTTTATCTAAGTGCTGTTACTTTGTACGAAAAAATAAAAAATAATTTTTTTTTCATTATCTGGTAAAAGTGGGTAAAAGTATACTTAATTAACTGTGACTAATTCCACCTACTACATAAAGTAGCAATACCAAAATTATCCCTAGAACCTTATTGAATGCTAGTATTCATTTATATGAATTAAATTATGCACTGAAAGTTTGCACATTAATTATTTGTAAATTAAATTACTACCATTTTCCCATATTCATTCATTTAAGTTGGTTTATTCCTGGGAAAGCTAAGCGATAGCTTAATAAATTGTTAATTTACCAACCAACCAACCATTTTAGTTTTAAACGGTTCGGTAAAAGTGAATATCCAAACATATATGGAATAAAAACCCAGAATCCAACAAAATAATTGGGTACTTTCCTTGATCAAAATTAATTTATTTTAACTGTAGGTACTATGCAATAAAATATGAAAAAATAATTTTAGTTTTTTTCCATCAAATTTTTAAGAAATATTATGCTGTTTTAACAATAAAACATGCGGCGTGAATACGCAATCTCGTACAAACTTCATAGAAAACTGTCGTTTTTGACAGTTCCAAAAAGTATTAAATTTGACTAATTAGCACGTACCTACGCAATTTATGTGCCGCTAAGTAGATTTTAGGTACATAGTTAAGGGACATGTGTCGGAATACTGAAACGCTACTCAATTTTAATTCGCGCTTAAGTATAGTTCTGTCACTTCTAATTCTTTGTAAAATGACAGAGACAGCACGACATTTAAGCACGACTTAAAATTGAGTAACGTTTCAGTATTCCGGAAATAGGTTCATAGTATAATTATCCCAAATTGAATAATTGTTTTGGATTAAACCACCACCGATTTTTACATAGGTAGGTACCGAAAACTAGAAACCATCTTTTCGTTAAAATAGCTAGATAATATAATTAAATTAAAACCAATCGATGTCTCTTCCAGATGACTACAATGCGGAATCAGTCAAGCTCATCGCGGGCATCGTGGACATGGACAAAGATGGGTACATCTCATTCTCGGAGTTCCAGGCGTTTGAGGGCCTGCTCTGCGTACCCGATGCGCTGTACAAGACCGCCTTCCAACTCTTCGATACTAATGGCAATGGACTCGTCGCTTTTGGTAAGACATTCAATTGAGCACTTACTTATCTTCATTTTTTTTAATTCGAATTAGATTTAGCTGCATGTTTAACGATGTGGCTAGACAATGCATTGCTGTTTCGATGCCCGAATAAAAACCTCCTTTATGTGATCCATACATACATTAATGTTGTGAGGTTGGATGTAATTTGTATTTGAATTTGAATGTTAGTTAATGACACAAGAAGAAGTACCTGGGTCTACCCAATTCATGGATTCAATGAGGGTTTTCTATGTTGGTCCTATTAAGTTTAATCAGCTTATATGCCACAAGACGGGACCATGATCGTATCAACATAAAACTTTACATATAGTAGTAGACTTTTCCGTCGTTATTCTCATATTATATAGATCTCAATTTTGTCTGACAAAACCATACTCAACCACCATTTCCAGACGAGTTTGCAGAAGTCATGCGCAAAACGGCCCTCCATCAGAAACTCCCATTTAACATGGAGAGTACATTCGTCCGTTTGTACTTCGGCAAGGACAAGAAGAGGTTGGTAACATACCCTGAGTTCAGCCAGTTTCTTCACGACTTCCACGAGGAATATGGAGTGGAAGCCTTTAAGAAATGTGACAAAGATGGAACAGGCTTCATCAGCGCTGGGGACTTTAGAGACATTATGCTGTCTGTTAAGAAACATCTCCTGACTAAGGAGTTGAATTCTAAAGTTATTAATGTGAGTATTATTTTGAAGTTATAATTTTTCTAACACTCTTATTGTTAGTCTAGTCAGTTAGGCCCAACGCAACAATCACTCCTCTAGTGTTGTGGATATCCATGTCGTTAAATGCCATCTACCTTAAGTTAGGGGTTCTTTTAAATTTAGGAGAGGTTAGTGAAAACGGACGTTTGTCTTTATCTTTTTACATTAAACATTAGTTCTATAGTATTTCTGTCATAATCCGAGGTTAATTCAGATACTTTGGATTGAGATTAATCTTTAATTTTGGCCGTACAAATAGCTCAATAGCTTTGTATTGCGTCCAAATGCACCATAAATGCTCTTCTCAAGTCTTCTCTACGAGAATTGACATACGCAGAAATATTCCTATACTATTACATATTGAATTATACCTTTTCCTTGTTCCTTTCAAAGTGACGCGTAAAACAAATACCTGTGTTAACGTCACTTATATTGCAATAGTAAAAATTGTTGTATTTTTTCTTGAAGTCATCATAATTTACAATTAAAACCTCAATAGACTCCAAAATCCAGCTCAGGTCATGGGCTACATAACAGATGTCATTATGCCACTAAATAATTTGCCCTTAACATTCCAGGCTTCGGGCTTCCCACACGGTGAACGCAAAATCAGTTTCCCCTACTACATGGCCTTTAATTCTCTTCTAAATAACATGGAGCTGATCAAGAGAGTCTACCTTAATGCAACCAACGGCACTCGAACGCAAGAAGTCACGAAAGAAGAGTTCTTACATTCAGCTCAGATGATGTCCCAGATCACGCCCTTAGAAGTTGATATATTGTTCACTTTGTGTGACATGATACATCATACAAATGGGTAAGTTTTAAATATTTCACACATACTTAATTATCGCTTGTCTCCCAGTGGGGTAAGCAGAGACATGATTCTGGCATACCTCTTTTGCAACCTATTGTTCTTTAATTGTGTCTATAATGACGATACTCAACGAGTTAAATACTTTCGACGATATATTTTTGAAATATCGTGTGACGTCACAGCGTGTCACATTTTGTAACACATTATGACGTAACGACTCCTAAATTCAGCGCCATTTTATCTAAGTATCACAACTTAATAGGATAAAATAAAAAAATACGTGTCTAATATTTCATTACCTAACTGACGGACTAATTCGATTTTAAATTTTGATACCCTGGAAACTACCCAATTTTACAAAACCGTTGACTAGGTATACAAATATGTAATAGCATATCCGGGCCCTCTGCTTAACTATGAGCGTCCCATGCATAAGAGGGGTTAGCCTTAATTTCATTATACGGAGCCGCGGAGAACTTAACGGGTTATCGGGGCTCCGCCTCGAAGAGCAGGAGTAGGAACAGAGTGGTTTTTGTCAGTAAGAGTCTGACACTCACTCTCGTCTAGCCCAAGGTGGGAGAAGTCATTGGATAATTTTCGTATTATCTCGTTCTACCCCGTTTAAAAAAACCATAGTTTTTTTGCTTAGCAATCGGCTTGGAGATAACAGTTTAAAAGATTTAGCTTTATCGTAGACCGCTGCTGTCCCATCTCTGTCAGATATTCCTTTATCAACTAACGATACCAGCTGGAAGTATAAAAGATTCAAGGGTACTTACACTTGAATTCATTTCCGATTGTTCAGACATTGATATTGTGAAATTTCGCACTCTTGAGTTGTAACACTAGCGCCCAATACACCCATTGCATATTGCCTGGATATTTAATGAATTGAACTGTCAAACACCAAGCGGTCACCGGTGACCGCAACCTATTGTTCTTTAATTGTGTCTATAATGACGGTACTCAATGAGATAAACGGTATGTTGAGGTGGCCCGGAGGCTAAAGACGCTCGCTTCTCATGCACGAGGGTGGGTTCGAAACCTACCAACAACGGTAAGTACCAATGTAACTTTTTCCGAGTACTTTCTAAGATTATTTAGATACCACTGACAAACGGTATAAGCAAACATCGTGAGGAAACCTGGGCTTATAATTTCTAATTATAAGTTTGTAATCGCCAACCCGCATTGAGCAAGCGTGGTGATTATTGGTCAAACCTTCTCCCTGTGAGATGAGACCTTTGGTCAGCATTGACCGTTTATAGGCTGTTGATGATGATGATAATGAAACGGTATTGAGTTTAGCTTTATATTCCGTACTCTGAACTGAATGCTATCTTAACAGCTACTATTGGGGCTGTATAGTTGAAAAAGATTTGTTTTAAGTGTAAGCGCCAAGTTTATTGGAAAGCATTATTTATCCGGTCTTTGCCAAATGTGTCTCTTACTCGGGTCCCTTACTTAGTCGGTTGTTGTAAGACCCGCGGGAAGAGCTAGGGTATCGACAAAAATGTATGCCGTCATCACACGACGTAGGCACTGAGTAATACGAAGACACTGTCAAAATATACTTATTTGGTCGCAAAAAATAAGCGACTCATATTACCACAATAGAGAAAGTGACCCAAAAATTAATAAACGAAGTTACCGATTATTAAATATCTGTCATGCAGTAATGCCGGTTAGCATTCAGACAATAAAGTTCAAATTAATAATGTATACATATGACGTCACAAGAACAAACATGACATCGTAATAAAAGGAATTCGTTTGCGTAACCACATAATGGAATTTAATAATTACCTATTTAAATTAATTTAATAATATTAATTTATCCGCTTATGTGCCGTAGCAACAATTTATTAATGCGAATATTACCTGTATTTTACGTAATTATTCATTACGGGGAAAATGCACTGAAAACAAATATTAACACGCAAAGTGCAGTCGGTTGTGATTCATTTGATTTTGAACTTTAATGCATACGTTGTAAGATAAATTGTGTTATAATACAAATTGTAAACGATTACCTCATTGAAATTTCTGTGTAGTTAGTTAATAAATCATTTTAATAAACAAAGTATTATCTGGATTTGATTAAAATTTCCAGCCACAGCCTGTCTATGTAATGTTACCTATATATTTATTATTTTATCAAATTAACGAACCTAATGGCTGGCGACTACCTTGGGCAAAGGTTAAGCATTGCCATTCAACGTGGCAATGCTGCCAGTCTTTTGGGCAGCCTACCTCACGGTAGCGATGAGGAAAATGTTTTCTTTGATGCCTTATGATTTATTTTTATTATTATTATTTTCTTAAGGTGTAAAGATTTTAGTTTGAAATTATTTTTTTTATATTTTAAGTTGTATATATTAATAGTTTTTATGGTGTTAAATATATGTTTGTTTGGATTTTCATACCTAAATAAGCTGTAACTAAAAGCCGTAATCGAGTATTGTATTCACGTCTATAATATTAGGTTTATTATAAATTTAGAATGAAAATAACCACTCGAAAAATACCCATATTTTGTTTTGATTGTAAATTCACAGCTGTTCGTCAAACCACCAAGTTTTATGAATCATAACAAACAGTACACATAGTGTAATGCATTACGTGCCAAAAATAACGTTTAAAATATTAAGAACTGGCCACAATTCATGTGGCACCAACCTGTCTCGTTATTCAACCGCTATTTAACATTTTTACAAAAAACTCTGGCCTTCAGAATCTTGGCACGAAGCCCTCACGTGATACTTTGACCTAGAAACAGAAAATTAAGTCAAGTAAAAATGCATTTGGTTTTTTTTATATTTAAATCCATGTGATCAGGCTTTTATTTCTATTTTTTGATGTTTGGTTTCAGAATTCTCGATAGCAATATTAGGGTTGTACAAATAACACAATATGAAACATAACATCACGCCTTTTTTCCCCGAAGAGGTGGGCAGAGGAGTAAATTACATAACATCACACCTTTTTATCCCCGAAGGGGTAGGCAGAGGTACACATTACGGCACTTAATGCCACTGTAAAATGTAACACTCAATTTTCACTATTTATGTTATGAGAGGGGGTGAACCTATTGCCATATTTCCAGACTCCGTGCTTCTACTGAGAATTTATAAAAAGCCATTAATATTCTGCCCGAGCCGAGTATCGAAACCCGAGACCCCTTGGGTCTCGGGTTTACGGGACGGAGACCGCTCGGGCAACGACACGCTGTAAAAATATGGCAACAAAATATGAGTTTGTTATAACACATAAGTAAAAGTTATGCCTACAGCACTTTAAGCATCAATATATTTTGAAACATAAATGTATACGGCACATCCTGTTCTATGCGATTATCCTGCAAAAATAATTAACATCATCCCTTACCACCAGGCTACCATCTAGCCAAACGCCATCCAACGCCATCCGCCATATTAAATATAAAAAAGGCGTGAAGCAACGCTTGCGTTGTGTGTCGTGTGAGTGAGGTTACCGGAGGCCCAATTACCCTCCCCTTCCCCAATCTGTCCAATTCCTGAATCCCCAACAATCCTCAAACTCCTAATCCCCAAAAGGCCGGTAACGCACTTGCAACGCCTCTGGTGTCCCAGGTGTCTATGGGCGACGCCGATTGCTTACCATTAGGTGATCCGTCTGCTCGTTTACCGACTTATGCCATAAAAAAAACAATCTCAGATTCATTATTTTCTTATATTCCATTCTCATTCGTCACTATCAACCATCGAATCACCTTCAACAAAAGAAAAAAGAAACAGAATCGTCCATAATGATAAGCATTATCTCAATTTTTCGTATAACTTATTCGTATTTATGAAGTACCCATTTCATCCTACATTATTTGAGAAATAAAAATCATAATATTCTAATTGTAGTCTTATTACATTGTCGGCGTCAGCGGAGGGGGCTCAGACAACACATGGGTCACGAGTTCGCCTCCCGTCTCTAGAGGGTTGGTCTTCATTTTTGAGAGGAATGCGAGTGATCTGACATAGACTTTTATACACACACACCTATAAAAAATAGGTTTTATTTCTATAACAACGACTGATAAGCACAACAAAGTCTCAACCAGAAAGAGTGAAAAGTTTTTACTTCCAACTTATTTTTTTTTTTACAATGATCTTAATATAAAATGCTTAATATTAATAACCTTTAACAAACTACTCTTTGTGCCGTTTTCTCAACTACTGAATCTTAACCAGATTCAGCCGATGATGACTATTATGTCTAGTCTCCACAACCCACTAGCGGTGGTTTTCGTTACATTTATTTTGGAGACAAATAACATTAATCAAAAAGAATTTAACAACTGCCGAAATCAAATTATTTATTAACTCAATGTTTCTTTCTTTCAGTCGAATCGTATACAATGATCTCAACTCCATCACACCAGAGCAGTACTTCAAACAAGTCACACGGCGCGTAGCAGAAATCAAGGCTGTCTCCGTGAGTATCACTCTCTCTTGCACATTCATACAAACGTAATATCGCCGTCCCTTTTTAACCATATACTTCCAGGAGCAGCCTTCGTAATCAAATGTATGTTTAGTGTAATTTAGACTTAAAGTACATAGCATAAGAGTTGTGTTTTTGTTTTGGAAACATCACTAACTTACAGGTATATTGTTCTCTTTCTTTCAATGCTTAAAAAGGAGGAGGTAACTATGTTAGAGCCTTGTCGATTTGTTTACTGTTTGGAACGAATCCTGGTAAGTAAGGTTGGGGGAGTTTATGATGTTTCTATCTTTTTATTTCTTTTGACTTTGAATTTTTGGTAAGACATAAGTTAAGGACTCACGGCGCGGTTTTCTCCCGCGCCCGCCTCGGTTGCGGGCCCGCAGCGTTTGTAAAATACAGATAGGTATGTAAAAAATCAAAGCAATTTTCACGGTGCGTTTTATAGCCGCGGCGGTTGCGATTGTTTGCGGCTCCCCCTGCACCGGTGGGCGCAACCGCGGCGGCTAGTACCCGCGCGCTTTACGATCGGTTGGCGGGCGATCGCAATGGGACAGCCGATCTAAAACTTAACTGATTGTTTAACCGCCCGCCCGTCTTACGATAATCAACCACCAAGTTTGCGGACGATAATCGCAACCGCAGCGGCTGCGTGATCGCAGAAAACTGCTTTGTCGTGACTTTTGAAAATTCCGCCTCCATTAAGCCACAGCTGCGGGTGCGTTAGTAGATCGCGCCGTGACTCCTTATCCTTACATTTAAGCATTAAAAATGTCAACATGTTTTGTGGCTATACGCTAACTTCACTTAGGTACTCATTGTGAGATTTCATATCACTACTGTGTGTGCTACAATCTACTCATCTCTAAATACCAAAAATTCGCTGTCTTTTTTCAAAACACTAAATTCTATAGTTTTACTATTTATACTTATAATTTATTCTAATTTATAAAATATGTAACCAAACCACTTATAAAGGAAAATTGCGGAATTATGTCAGAGTTGCAGCTTGCAGTGACTTTGAATAAGGGTATTTAATTTTAAAATTTACAGAAGATTGGACGCCATCTAAAATATACATATAGCTACAGGGTACCAAAAATAATAAGTGTAGGTTCACTATTTATAGTAAGAAAATTACTAAAGTTAGTAATGTTATCATTTAGCTGAGAAATATCTCAATTTACGTATCTAATATACTCTCTAGTAACTGTAATACGTATTTGCGCAAAACATATTTATTTAATATTAATTTATTTATTTATGTACACACATTCAGCACAGAGTAAAATATAAAATATAAAAACAGAGTACATAGGCCCCACATATTCCAACTGGAATTTCTTCCTGTGGGCCTGTGGCAGGAAAAGAAATAACATATTATGTTTATTATGTTTGCGCAAAAGTAATTATAAAAATTAACTTAATTGTCTACATAATAAAATGGCATCCAATACTCTGTCTTAATATTATTAAATACCTACCTACAAACAAAGAGTAATTAAACATTTTTAATACTTATATTACTTATTTAAATTACTCCCATACATAACAGCATGAACAACCTCAAATATAATATTAGTTTATGAACATAATCACGGCCATAACCTCATACATACTTGTATGCTACATGTATGCCAGGCCAATTCACAATAGCAATCGACATTATGCTAAGTATAATATAGCACTCTGACACATGCATTACCATGAACAATACTGAGATAAAGAATTTGATAAAATGAAAGTAATAAAAATTTTCACAAACATTATTAAAATTTACGTCTTTGGAAAAACTTTATGTTGTTAAACTGTTGTTATTCGATTTTTATGGACATCTTTTTTACATAAGTATTTGACAAACTGGTAGACGACTAGTTCGCTTATGAAGCGTACTAGTATCGTAAGCCACATTATCGCTTAAGCGAGATAGTGGCCTACCTATTATCAATACATAGTATAAAACAAAGTCGCTTTCGCTGTATGTCCGTATGTATGCTTAGATCTTTAAAACTACGCAACGGATTTTGATGCGGTTTTTTTTAATAGATAGAGTGATTCTTAAGGAAGGTTTGTATGTATAATAAATGCATATTGCACCCGTGCGAAGCCGGGGCGGGTCGCTAGTATTATATATACATAAATAAAAATGAATTTCCTTTCGTTTGTCTCGCTTTAAACTCGAGAACGGCTGAACCGATTACCGCATAATTTTGGTTTTGAAATGTCCGTGGAAGTCCAAGGAAGGTTTAAAGGTGAGACTTTTTTTAGGCATAACGAAGTTAGCCGGTTCTGCTAGTTTTTATAAAAAATGATCTTGTCTCAGTACTGTACAAAACAAAGTATCGTCTACTCTTATATTATATTTTCTTATAATATAGTAATAGCTACATATATATGTACATAGAGCTTGGTAAATACGTCTGTATGTTTGTTACAGAGTCCGGAAGAGAGAGGCGTGTTGATACAAATATTGGAGAGCACTTACAGATTCACACTCGGTTCTATTGCTGGTGGTATGTACTTGAATTTGGAGTTTATTTTCTAGATTATAAGGTTTAAAATAAAACTTTTTGCACACTGGCACCACTGTGATAAATATAGTTTAAAAAACCCAATAGAAACTCATCTCTGAAACTTAGGTACTTTTTCTACTTATCTTAATAATCTCATGTCCTGGCGAGACTCGTGGACATTTTATTAAACACAAAATCTGATGAATATTAAGTATTAAAATTGGGTTTTTTTTTTCTTCTTTGTCAACCAAGTTTCCAGTACGATGTTGTCGATTATACCTACTGCCAGTGTCTATTAGGTACTTGCCAACTAGTCAAATTCAGTACTTTTTTCGAAATATTCAAAACGACATGGTGTATTATGACGTCACGTTTTTACTACATACTTCGAAGAAACAAAATAAACCTCAAATAAAATAAATTGTGGGTAAATTGTACACAAAATATTATTGTTATTTTAAACGAAGATTAATACTACAATTTTGTCCCCCAGCCGTCGGTGCGTCAGCAGTATACCCCATCGATTTAGTGAAAACTCGTATGCAGAACCAACGCACAGGCTCCTTCATCGGTGAGGTCGCGTATAGAAACTCCTGGGACTGCTTCAAAAAGGTCATCCGGCATGAAGGCGTCTTCGGTTTATACAGAGGATTAGTACCACAGCTTATTGGAGTAGCACCCGAGAAGGCTATTAAATTGACGGTAAATAAAAAAATACTATACTAATTTTTTAAAAGTGATAGGTATAAGATCTCGCCTTTTATCCCCAATGGCAGAGGTGCACATTACGGCACTTAATGTCACTGAACAATGTAACACCCACTTTCACTATTTATGTTTTGAGTCCCATGTAATAGGAGGTTAGTCCATTGCCATACACACGGCACATATCCAGACTCAGTGCTACTACTGATATTAAAAAAAACAGTAGTTCTTTGCCAAACTGGGAATCGAACCCGAGAATTTTTCAGTTTTCTTTAAACAGTTTCCGAAAATGTTTAGTACTCTATCTATTATCTATTACGTTTTAGCAGAATGACTGCACGGTTGCGGTGCGGTGGCTGGGCAACCGGCTGCCGTGCAACGTGTCGCGGGTTCGATTCCCGCACGGAACATCACTTTGTGTGATCCACGGATTGTTGTTCCGGGTCTGGGTGTCATGTGTATGTGAACTTGTATGTTTGTAAACGCACCCACGATACAGTAGAAAATCCTAGTGTGTGGGAACTTTTTTTAAATCCTAGAACAGTGTCGTGTATAATAGGCTCACCCCCGTGGAATCTCCATCCCTTCGTTATGATATATTTTATTTGTTTGCCTACAGGTCAACGACTTCGTTCGCGACAAATTCACAGACAAGAAAGGAAATATTTCGTTATACGCAGAGATCCTGGCCGGTGGTTGTGTGAGTAGACATTGCATAAAAATATCTTTACCACAAATTCAATAAAGAGTTCTATAAAAAATACCTTCACCTCGAATTCAATAAAGAGTCCTTAATTTACATCTTCTATATTATAATTATATACTATATTGATTACGTTTAACATAAAGAGGGGGAATATCATACTTCGCTGTTCGACAGTTTGCAAACGAAGTTAACGTTGAAATAAGTTTATCTCATGTATTAAAATCTACAATTATACTAGCGGTCCCGACAGACGTTGCCCTGTAATAAGAGGTATAGATAAATAACCTATAAACCGACTGCAGCGCCATCTGCCGGGCTGATTTGTGAATCTAAACCATTCCCAGATCCCCTTGAACACACACAAAAAAAATTCATCAAAATCGGTCCAGTCGTTTGAGAGAAGTTCAGTGTCATACACACTCACAGAAGAATGATATGTATAAAGATATAAAAATGAATCCCTTTTTCCCTTGGTCACGGTATCATGCGTGAATGGCTGTGGACCGATTAGGCTGATTTTTTTTTGTATTTGTTATTATTAGGAGATGGTTCTTAAGATAGAAAATCCTACGGGAACGGGAGAGAACGGGATTGCGCGTACGAAGTCGTTAGCAGACGCTAGTACATAATAAAGTTGACTGCACGGTTGGTGCGGTGGCTGGGCAACTGGCTGCCGTGCAACGTGTCGCGGGTTCGATTCCCGCACGAGACAACACTTTGTGTGATCCACAAATTGTTGTTTCGGGTCTGGGTGTCATTGTGTACGTGAACTTGTATGTTTGTAAACGCACCCACGACAAAGGAGAAAATCCTAGTGTGGGGCGACGTTCTTTAAAAAAAAAAAAAAAGAGTACATTTCTCTTGTATTTTAATTTTATTTCTTTCCCACAGGCCGGTGGTTCACAAGTAGTGTTCACAAATCCTCTAGAGATTGTGAAGATTCGTCTACAAGTAGCTGGGGAGATCGCGGGAGGGACCAAAGTAAGAGCATGGTCTGTTGTGAAGGACCTCGGCCTGTTCGGCCTCTACAAGGGGGCGAAGGCCTGTCTACTCAGAGACGTGCCTTTCAGTGCTATCTACTTCCCTGCTTATGCTCATGTTAAGGTGAGTCTTAGTATATTTGCGTTGTTGTTAAAATACTATTTGAATAAATGTGCTAAGTTGAAGTAAACTGTGTTTCGTAAATAGCATTAAATAAGCGTAAAGCAATCTGACTGTAAAGCATTAATTTACTTACAGTTAAAAGACAAAATTATTAACAGATCACACACCACAATCTTTAGATTGATGTTGTTATATTAGTTCTTCTGAATTTATAACAAAAAAATCGATGAAAAATCTTTAATTGATGAAAACATGAAGTCGGTTGACTAGTCTGTATCCTTATTGTTTACAATGTTTGTGTTTTATTGTTGATAAGTTTTAATAAAATAAAATAATATATAGAAAATAAAAGACTACGTTCTACGTTACAATATTTGTAACTTATAGTCTTACACAATATTTAAATTTGCAGGCTAAATTCGCGGACGAGAACGGTTACAACCACCCCCTGACGTTGCTGGCGGCCGGTGCCATCGCGGGCATCCCGGCCGCCTCACTCGTCACGCCGGCTGACGTCATCAAGACTCGATTACAGGTATGTCAACGCTCTTTATTTAAATCAGTTTTGCTTATTTCAATTGAAAAACCAAGGTTTAGCATCTAAATATTTTGGAAAGCAATAACCGTGTTAATATTACGTTAACGGTGTTGACGGCACGGTTAGCTCGGTGTCAAGACCACTGGCTACCGAGCTAGGTGTCGCGGGCTCGATTCCCGCACGGAACATCTATTTGTATCTCACAGGTTATTCCGGGTCTGGGTATCATGTGTATGTGAACGTGTTTGTTTGTAAACGCAACCGTGACACAGGAGAAAGTCCTAGAGTGGGACAACGTAAACAATAACAATCACTTGCTAAATGTATCGTCTCGAATTTTCGTGATCAACGACAATATTTTTGAAACTGGAACTGTTTTGTTATTATATCCATAATAAACAAAGAAAAACACCGTCAGCTCCAAATCTGGCACCAATTACCTTTTTGGTCTAAAAGGGATGATGACAGGGTATGAAAATTAAAAATCTAATTAGTTCGTCAGTGAAAATGAAAAGATATTAGACACACGTTTTTTTTATTTTGTTGTATATAAATAAAATGATACTTAGATACCTATAACGAATCAAAGTTTAGGAGTGGGGGCTAAAACGTAAATTCTACTTTTAAAATGTACATAGAAGTGATGTCACGCGACATAACAAATCGGTATATCGCCGAAAGTATTCGTTTCTGTAAAAAAAATACGTGTGTTATATTTTTAAATAATCTACCAGACGGATATTAAAATAAAAATTAGTCATCTACCCTATTGAAATAAACAATGACTTAGAATGCATTATTTTTCTCCCAGGTGGTTGCTCGGTCGGGCCAAACAACGTACAACGGCGTCATAGACGCGGCGCGCAAGATATACGCGGAGGAGGGCGCGCGCGCATTCTGGAAGGGAGCCGTCGCCAGGGTGTTCCGCTCCTCGCCGCAGTTCGGAGTCACGCTCGTCACTTACGAAATACTACAGCGCTTGTTCTTCGTCGATTTTGGAGGATCGTAAGTACTATTTTCTATATTATTATTACTATTTTTTTAAGGGGGGAAAGTCATCGAATGACTGCACCAGCCTGGGTGAGCCGGGAAGGAGTGTCAGACTCTTACTGACTAAAAACCACCCCGTTCCTTCTTCTGCACGTCGAGCCGGAGCCCCGGTAACCCGTTAGGTTCTCTGCGACATTATTATCGTCGCAACTTTGCTATAAAGTAAAGGTGTAACTCTCATGCTCTTACAGCTTTCAACACGCCGAGAAAGTACCTACGTAAACTGTTTTAACGTCTAAAACGTCTAAATTATATGTATCAGAGACATTGTAGAACATACTTTTTTTAAAAAGAGTAACGAATGGAGTTTCTTGCTCGTTCTTCTCCATTCGAATCTACGTTTTGGAATGAGCACCTAGCTTCACCTAATTTCTCTGACGGACTCACTGACAGACTATTATTTATTTTGTATTTGTTGACGTTTCAAAAGTACCAAACTATGGTTTAATTGAAATAAATGCTTTGACTTTGACTTTGACTTTGAAAATGATAAAGAAAAACGATTTAGTATTGGTCCTTGACGAAAATATGCGGAACAAATGAAAACTAATACGGATTCTTGGAGCATGTATTCAATGAAGCTTAACCGTAGCTCTAAACCAAACGAAGTAATTTAAAAGCTTGTTAAACAAAGAAAATTGCACCTTAACGCAGTATACTTACCCTCATTTTTCTTGACAGACGCCCAGCCGGTTCAGAGTTACACGTGGCGACACCTATCGAGGAGTCTGTGAAGAAACCACATCACATCGGCGGCTACCAGGTGGCGCTGCCAGTACTAACGGGGCTCGAGACCAAGTTTGGTATCTCCTTGCCTCGCTGGTCGGCACCTAAACCTGCGCCCGCGCCGCAGTAGTGGTACAGTAAGGATGGACGCTCGTAGATATTTATATTCAGAAGGTTGACACACTATCGCGTTGTTTTGGATAAATATTATCAGAAGTTGATTATATTCACGATGAAAAGAATATTATTGGTCAGTTTCAATAACCTATCTTTCGGTAGATCAAATTACAAGAGGATTTCGACACATTTTGTATGGAACTTTATCTTTGGTAGCCCAATCTACTGAGGGATGAGTTATTAAATCTGACAGATTGTATTATCTTGTTTCTTTCACGGTATAATCAAATTAATGTGAAAGCGAGATAGTTATATTTTTTTATTGTAATTACTTTTCTTTGCGAATGATATAACTAACTACTGGTAGTTTTGTCCAAAAACGCATCGTGTATAAAAATGTATGTAGCATACTATACGGATGTAAGACATTACAAAGTGAGATTAAGGATTATTAAACAAGTAACATTATACATTTTATACCACACGTTACTCAAGAGATTTCTTACAATCTAAAGTATTTATAAACATCTAGCTTTGTTTACAATACAATAAAAATATAGTACAATATTGTATTGACACACCTCTGCTTAGCCCTTCAGACAGAGCCGAATTATCCCTAACATAAACTAGGCAAGTGTCTAGAGCGCCAGGTTGACGCTCATAATATTATGGGCGCCTGTGGACGGCCATAATATTGCCTAGGGCGCTGTCTAGGTTTAGTCCGGCCGCTGCCTTCAGAGATTAAAAGGCGTGGTATTATAAATAACATAAATAGTATGTATCTTCAAGCCGCCAAGCGTTAGAAAAGTTAATTATTATATTTTCGGGAAACTCATGTTACTGTTTGACGGGAAACTCGACTGGGTAATAGGAGTGTGACACAGTGAGTGCGGTATGTAAAGTCGTTTTTGCGTTGACCCGGGATTCGTACCCAACACTACGCAGCCGCGAGCGAGTCTAGCGGCAAGTCGCGCGCCGCCGACGCCACGGATAGAGCACAGTGCGCGGGAATCCCGCCAGGGGGCGCTGCAGTCGAGCAGACAGCTCTTCGCGGGGTGCTACTCATGAATATGACCTCTAGTATGCCTTGAAACTAGTCGAGTTCCTCATCTAACAGTTACGTGAGTAAGCCGAAAACATAATAATTAATTTAGTATGTCTCACGAAATGTTGGCAAAATCTTCAATATTTTTGTTGCATTAAATAGTTATAATAATCTAAGCAAAAGTGTGATAGGAATAAGTTTTTTAACACTTAGTGTATAATCCCTTCAGTACAATGCCTAAAATATCTTGTAAACCGCCCTGAAACACGTCACGATTTTTATATACCTACCTACTTACTTATTTATAAATAATCTGCTTACTTGAAAAACTTCAATAAGATTTACGCCCATACAAATGATGAATTCATTGCTTTTACTAGTTCTAAGTGGTATGAAAATCCATATAAATAGATTTAAGAATAATTTTCAATAACCATGGTTATTATGGTGAGATTTTTTATAATAATTTTAGTCATTTACCAATATATGTAAATGGGCAAAAAGTAGGTGGACTCTAAGTACACCTCTGCCTATACTTTCTAGGAAAAAATGGTTTGGTGCTAAGTCAGAACATGGTATACTATTGGATAAATATGTTTTAACCTATGAGGTTTGGAACTTTAAACTTTTAAAAGAATTAAGCCCAGATATTCATATTTGCCAAAATGTTCCTAATTGGCTGCACAGCCTTTAAAACTACTTAATTATATTATTTAACATCTTTTTATATATTTTAAATTAATAAAATAATGTATAATGTTGAAAACTAAAGCTCTCTTTGATAAAAACTAACATTAACTATAAAAAATATTCTAAAACACAATAAAAATCTATTTATATGGATTTTCACACTACGTTACTCAAAGTAATAGTAAGATATAAATGACGACCTAACTTACTTAGTAATAAGGTCGGATTTTCTATATCAAATTTTGACTGTATGTAGGCCATTTTAATATAAATATTACACATAGTCTATGCACCTACTAGCATTTTAATGACTTTACAAAAAGTCAAAAACTTTTTGATTTGTTTTTTTTTTGCATTTGATATGTTACAAGTAACAATTTTGTAACATTTTAAACTTTATTATAATTTATTAATCGCTTTTAAGGTTATTTTTGTAACATAGTATTGATATTTCCAAATATTTGTGCATTTTTTTTTTGTAATACACTGCCATATGTAAACCAGATTTAGTTGCTTTAAGATTTTTTGAATACTTCTATATTTTTTATTCAAACTTTTTCTAATAAATTGCATTTAGACTATAAACCAAATATTTTTGAACCGATCTTAATTATAATCACATGATTTTGTATTTATATTTCTATTAAATTATTGATAATTGTAACATATCAGAATGCCTTTAGTTTTAAGTAAAATCGAAATCAAAGCGAACTTATTATTGTTATATTTTATTTGTTAAACAAATTGTCGGACGCTTTGACTGGATTACGAAACAAATTGTGTCTTGAATTCGCGTATATACAAACTTTTTGTTAAAATATTTTAGTTATATATATAAGACTTATTATAACTTATCCATATCTCTTAGAGCTTTCGAATATCCATTTGCCTTTGTCTTAAAAAGATTAAATAACTATTTATATATCCCAATTATATAAAAACAACCACCCTACAATGTTTATTCAACTTTGACAAACTAGATAGGTGTCCCAAAATGTTCAAACAATAAGTTCTAATTGTTAATCGATGAACGAATTAAAGAATATAAAATATTATACAGACGTTTAGAACTTTCTTTTAGGTTCTATTCGCAAAAGGGGTTTTTAACGCGCGTTAAAATGTAACATATATGTATGCAAGGCAATTTAGACTTTAACGCTTGATTCCAAGCGTTGAAAATGCAACACTACTCGACAAATGTCGCGTCCTAAAAGCGCTACTAGCACATACATTTCTTTTTATAAACGCTTTTACCGCGCGTTAAAAATATCGCTCGTGCGAATGGGTCCTTACAATCAACATATTATTTCGAAACTGCCATGTTTTGACAAACCTTGGACGAAATAAGATTTGCGTGAACAAGGCGAGAAATTTATGTAAATTATTGATAATTCTAAATTATTACTGTAGCTTGGGCACGTCTTCTATATCTTCACCTATTTAGCAATAAATAAAATATAATAAAGAGCTGTGTATACGCTTAGTTATGTACGCCGTTTAGTTCCTAAAACTGTATCGAAATGTTCAATTTTAAAATGAAGGATAACTTTAACCTATTATACTTTGAGATGTAAGTCTTGAGAATTGTTATGAAAAAAAAGGTTGCCGAGTCGGAAATGTCACGAATCGATTTCCAACTATACAGCTTTGGTATACGGTAGAAAATCCATTAACAAATTCATGACCTCATTGTCAAAACTCCTAGCTTTCGTGGTCTCGTTCCAATTACTGTAAATGTATAACAAACCTAGGCCTTAGCTATTCCTTATTTTAAAATTGAACAAAGTAAAGGCGGCCCAATAACGAATGCACAATTATGTTATCGAGCGTAAAAATAAGTTAATGTTGTATGACAACACTGTATAAAGTGAATCATAGTGTAACGACAGATAGAAAGCTGATGTGACTATATTTATTGATATTGTACATTTGTGTTAATAATAAATCGAATAAAACCCTTACTTCTTCTTTTTATTTATAAAATAAACAATACGACCCATTGTTTTTTTTTATATATTTGATGGGGCGACGTTTGACCATTATCTCGCCTGGTGGTAAGCGATGATGCGGTTTACGTTGGAGCATGTCGTCCCATAAGCAACCTATTCACTCGGGCCTTGAAGACTCCCTCCCGTACCCCTCAGGAAATACACACTGGCAAAGAATTCCACTCCTTAGCAGTACGCACAAGGAAGCTTGATGCGAAGCGCTTCGTGCGTGTGGGCGGAACATCTACCATGAATCTACCATTAATTGCTGATTGTCTTGTGGTACGATGATGGAAAGGACTAGGGGGAATCAAGTTGTGCAATTTCCCCGCACACTCACCGAAATGTATCCAGTAGAAAACCGAAAGGCTTGCAACCTTACGCCTGTGTTCGAGGCTTTGAAGCCGAGCCTTCACAAGCGCATGAGCCTCTTGGCACGCCTCTCAATGTGCTCTATGCGTCCAGCTGATATTTGGCCGAGCCGTCCCAACGATTGTGTGTCTAAAGGTGGATCCACGCGAGACAATGGTTTTTCTATTGTCTTATATACGGGCATACAAGTGGTTAATAGTCAGGCTGCGCAGCGCAGTACGCAGGGTGCGAGAGCGATTGCTGCGCAGCGCTTCGATAAATGCGTTATGCGTTATATAGCTTTTCATTCTATTCACGTAATAACACTACCAGCATTATGCTATGATCAATATGGTGTTTACAGAAACAGATACTCAATTCTACTAAACACAAAATAATTGATTAGTTTTAGGTATATTAGTTTTACATCTATATCTACGAGGTTGAATATTTACAACTTAAAAATAAATTAATACTATTATAACATATAGCAACTAAGCTGAATGAACTAAATTCGGGAAATAGAAGAACAAATTCCACGAAATCGACGACCTACGCTTTTTGGTAGCCAATGAATATACGATCTTATAGTGATACACGGTAAGTCGATAGTCAAAGTTAGTACGAAACCACGAAATTAACGGCCTGCGCTATTCTTTGCCGATGAATATAGAACCTTATGTCAATACCGTTAAAATCGATAATAAATGTTAGTACAAAATAACGACATGTCTTGTTGCTTTGAGAAACAAAATACAATGAAACTTGGTTAAGTGGGAGCTGGATAAGTGAGAAACCTCAATAACTGGAACTCATGCTGAGGTCCCAACACTTTGGCACTGAATTACCTGTGTTAGTGGGACGAGGTAAACCTCTATATCTGGAATTTGTTCTTTCGATTTATCATTATAGTTACCTCTATAATTGAGACAGCGAGTATATAAACCTCTGTAACCGAGATAACATTAGTTTGTTAACTCATTTTTATTCTACCTTCAAATTCCACACGTAATTCTAAGTCCACCTCTATTAATAGAACCCTCTGTAAATGAGACAGATATTTATTTATACTTGTATATCTGAGACACTGGGTAAGTGGAATACCTCTGTAAGTGAAACGACATTGCAGGTCCCTTGATGTCTCACTTAACCAGGTTTCACGTTCCGTTGACATTTCATTTGGTGACGTAGAAGTTTCTGCTAAAACGTAATAGATGGCATTTAGCGCTTATAGCAGAACGCTGTAAAAATAAATAACAGGCTACGGTACGCTTTATTTTTTTAACGGCTGTTTTATTCTGCTATATAATATAACGAAAACCTCTACAGGCCAACCCCACTTAGGTTCCAAAAAACTGTAGTGTTAGAATATTTATTTATATAAACGGCCCACCCCAATACAGATCACTGCCATCCCATCTAGGGTTAAGGCAGATGAAGGAAGCAGCAACTGGTAAGTAAATGATGTTTAATGTTGTAAATCTGATGGAAGTGTACGTCGAGGGGGTAACAAAATATGGTTTATTTTTGAGCAGAGCAGACTACAAAAACACAATGCCAGTCTTCAGTCTTATATGGTAGGGACTGAGGGTAGGGATAAATAAAATATAATTCCATTTATCAAATTTTTATTTATGCCATTTTGAGCCTTATTTTACAATTTACAAATCTTGTCTTTCACATTGGCGACTGAATAACGTAATAAAACGTAATAATCATAAAATAAATAGCATTCGCTTCCAACGTTTTTAAGCCGCCAATGTTTCGTATTACAAAATAACGATCTCTTGCCAATATTATAGAAGGTTGAACATTAGGACAAAAGGAATAAGGGCTAAAATTCGTTGAATTGCCTTTGCAACGTGTGATTTTATAGGTACTTATAATGCAAAACTAATTCGAGCATTTTAGAAACGAGGCAACGCAGTGTTGCAAGTTGCAGTATACTAGATACATATAACATGTTACACACACACAATATCGAATCCTTACACTAACTGCCGAACAGTTCCTGGCGCAACAAACATATAATTTAAAATATTTGACTCAACATTTTGTATTCAAGCTAATTTTACTAAACAATGAATGCATTCATGTTTATTGTCCATTTTCATTATGCATTTCGATTGCGTATTTATTCCATTTGTACATGAAATATCGTTTCTAATACCTATTTCATTTCCCCTGTGTGATACTTTTGTAGATATAACAATAAATAAAATAAATAGATTTTCGAAGATTATGAAAAATCAACGAATTCAGTTTTAACCGAAAATAAGCAATGAGTAAAACCAGTCTAGCGAGTGCTAATAATAATAATTGACAAAACACTGTCGGGCCGCATAATGAAAAATCTACTTTGGTGAAAATAATATTGAGCATCTAACAAATATACAACATAAAAATAAATAATCATTATTACAAAAAGACACCGACTACAGCGTCACTCGATCGAGCCAAGGTTCGTGTAAAAATAATTGTCTTATTACACCCGAGACTACTCACAAATAAGTCCATACAAAATAGATGTTGCTAGGATATGTGCATCGTCATCTCATAAATAAATCTCGCGTTAACAATTAATATTTGAGATTAAAAACAAACAATATTTATCTCGAATTCAACTATTAGTATGTTCTCGAGTAGTAAGATCCTCGGGAAACAGGAAAAATTAAAAATCCTAAACAAATTATTCTAAGTGATTGTGTCCGCTTGACTATTTATTTATTTATTTATTACTTTAATAGGAATATTTCATCTAGTTTAAGTGCACTTCATTATAAGTAAAAAATTAAAAATGAGGTTATTGCGTTGGAAGGAAGATTAACCGGAATGAAACTGGAATCTAGTCAAAATTATAAAAACTAAATGAAACATCTATTACGGAAGACGATGGGATAATTGAAAAAGTTAATGAATCAAAAACAAATAACTTTAGAACAGACAAGTACATAGATAAACTCTGACAGTATCTTGTTAAAAGTTTTATTTCTAATTATATATCTTTAAATATTCAACATCATCCAACAAGCGGACACAATCAATATTAGAGAAACACCTTACCTATGTAATTGTTTGCTAGACTTCACCAAAATTCGTGTGCGTAGTTTCTTTGGCGTGTTTCTGTGCCTCAACGTAGCCGGTAATGAGTTTGTCACACACATTGCACCTCAGAGTGAATTTGTTCACGTCGGTGAACTGTCTGGACGACTTAGCTTCGTGTGCCAACTGCTCCGCTTCTCTGTATATCTCCATATCTTCGGTTGGGAATATTGTTTGAATACCGCCCTGGAAAATAAGGAACCTTTGTTTTACAAGATGAACATTATAATTAATTATTCTTATGACGGTAAGAGACGCAAAATTACAGTGAAACTTGGTTAAGTGGAACCTGGATAAGTGAGAAACCTCCATAACCGGAACTCGTGCTGAGGTCCCAACACTTTGGCACTGAATTACCTCTGTTAGTGGGACGAGGTAAACCTCTATATCTGGGATTTGTTCTTTCGATTTATCATCGTAGTTACCTCTAGACAGCAAGTAAATTTTATATGCATAAACCTCTGTAACTGAGATAACATTGTTTGCTTACTTATTCTTATTCTACCCACAAATTCCACACGTAATTCCAAGTCCACCTCTATTAATGGAACCCTCTGTAAATGAGACAGATATTTATTTATACTTGTATATCTGAGACACTGGGTAAGTGGAATACCTTTATAAGTGAAACGAGATTGCAGGTCCTTTGATGTCTCACTTAACCACTCACTGTATTTGCTGTATCGCTGAGTAATTAATTGTGTCCAGTAAAATAGTAGTATCATTCATTTACAGCTGTACAGAGGTAACTTAGGTATTTTATTTTACCATGTACAGTTATGAGTAAAAATTACACAGTTGCACCGCACAACTGATATACCAGAAGTAAGGTCAGACTCCGATAAAATGAAACGAAATTACTATACTGAATTTCAACAACATGTCTCATCATCATCAACAGCCTATAAATGCCCACTGCTGAGCACATGAAGTAGGTTTAAGCATTAATCACCACGCTTACTCAATGATGATTGGCGATTTCAAACTTATAATTAGAAATTATAAGCTCAGGTTTCCTCACGATGTTTTTCCTTCACCGTTTGTCAGTGGTGTCTAAATAATCTTATAAACTACATATAACTCGGAAAAAATGACATTGGTAGTTGCCGTTGGTAGGTTTCGAACCCGCAACCTCATGCATGAGAAGCGGGCGTCTTAAACCTGCGGGCCACCACGACACAACAAGTCTAGTATCTGCTTAATTTGTCAGAGACTTATAGAAAAGCTTGGGACACTCACATCAACTTGTTCCAAATACAAGGGGTCATAGTGCACACCGTCAAATAGTAGAAAGACTCGCTGTCCATAATTCTTGTCTTCTCCAAATCTATTTATAATTGCATTCAGCGTGTCTACCACAGCCATCTCCAGCCCATAGAAACGAGATAGGATCGCTACCTGTAATAAAGAATAATAATATTAATATTATAAAACATATTTGGAAACTTGCAACTCCAGTTTGCTATTCATAGATAATGAAAAAATATTAGACGCGTATTTTTTTTGTATAAAGTTACAATCCTTACTAATATTATTTGTTTGTTTGTTCCGCTTTCACGCCGTAACTGCTAAACCGATTGTTTTGATTTTTTGCAGACGTAAAGTTCAGACAAATCCTGATTAAATAATAGGGTACTTTTTATCCCGGAAAAATGATATTCCCGAGGGAAAACAAAAGTATTGGTATAGATGGCGCTGTGTACATCGGTATATGTCACATAGGCTACTTTTTATTCTTTTGTGACGCGAGCGAAGCCGCGGGTAAAATTTAGATAAAAAGGCGTTAAGTTTAGGAGTACCGGGGGGTTGTTACGTCACAACATGCTACATTTTGTATTTATCGATATTTCAAATATACCGTCAAAAGTATTTAATTTTCTGAGGAAGGGCATTAAAATAAAATTTAGAAAACTAGCCTGTTGGAATAGAGGATGAAACAATTACAAAATTCATTTTCTTAAATTTCTAAATTAAAATCGAACAATGCTTCACAAGTAAATATAGTTAATACATAATCTCAGTATACATTAGTTATATATCTCAGTATACAACAGTATTCATATACATATAGTTAATACATAATTTATAGTCTTTTTAGTGTTTATGGTATTCTGTATCTATGTGTAGTAATTACCATAATCAAAAGAATAATAATTGCCGATAAACGGTATATAATATGTCAGCTTAAATCCCAGAGTCTTTAATGCATACTGTAATTGGTTATATTTACATGTAAGTTATACCTGTTAATTCTTACAGGATGCAGATAATGTGAATATTCTTATATGAGTGAAAATGATTTAATAATAAAAGTCTACAAAAAAATGAGGCAATAAACAATGATATTGCAATTCAGGTGTTTGTAACTCTAGAATTGATGGATAAAATGATGAAATATGATTGTAATTTTTTACTTTAGTTTTTTTTATGAAAATATAAATAAAGCAACATGCAGTAACTTACACAGCATTTTTTTAATGGTTTTGTGATAGTTACTATTTTAACACTACACATTTATAGTAATTTAATTAATCATAGATTAATTCTGTAAATTAATACCTGCGTTTTTTTATTCAGAATCAATTGGACTTTCTTACATACAGTGTAAGTCTTCAAGCACTCTTTACTCAGTGGAGTTTATCAAAAGATTATTTTTATAATTATAAATAAATCAAATATATTACCTCTATAGCACCACCCCATGAGCTCGGCTGTTGGATCCACACGCAGTAGTCAGCATTAGGTTTCCCGAGGACTGCCTCATTGTAAGTGTCTACGTCGCTAGCTACTTCCATTGCAATGATCTCTCGCATTAGTGTGTGCACCGTAGTGTCTACATTACCATTTAATACAAAACCTGGAATGAGAAACAGTTGTATTAATTGTTTGTAAGTTTACCTACCTAAATAAAATTTTATATAGAACATTGAATGTTTATAAGATAACAAAATTCTTAAAATTACTAAATTATTTTTTACAGTATGAATAAGTTTCACAACATACTAGAGCACTTAATAAAATTGAATTAGAGAATATTAGAATACAGCAAGATTAAGTTATTGTGTGTGTTTTAGGTGAAGATATTTTTAATTGTAATTTTATAATATTAACAATGTGTGGTTGTATAACGAGTTTTACAACATTAATGTAATGGAAACTTAAGATTTAAGGATCACACTAGATGTCATTCTGTGGTTTGTGCCTACCTATGAGGGGCAGATGCATTAATGTATCTTACTAATATTACAAACCAGAAGAGTTTGTTTGTTTGTTTGAACGCGCTAATCTTCGGAAATACAAGTCGAATTTGAATAATTATTTTTGTGTTACATAGCGCATTTATCGAGGAAGGCTATAAAACGTCACGCTACGATCAATAGGAGCTGAGCAGAGCGTGTGAAACCACGCGGAAGTAGCTAGTGTATCTTATAGGTAAAAAATCTGTCTACAATCCAGAGATTAGTATTCTTATTAGAAATAACTTAAAAGTTTTAGTTAGTGTTGAAGTTTTACAGTAATTAGAAAATATTCAAATTGATTAAAGACATAATGCTTTCATACAATTAATTTCTTGTAATTGTAATCATGCTTTATAAATTCTATTTTTAATTTATTAAGAAACAAGTAACTGCAGCCAGTCTTATATTAAATTGAAAGTTGCCAGGTACTGTAAAAACATTAATGATAAAAGAAGACATGAGAAATTCCCAATGAGTTGAACGTCTTTAATTATATTACAAAAAAAAGCATTTTGATGATAGCTTTTATAGTCCATTGTTGCTATATTATTTCATTTAAATAAAATATTTACATCAACTATATCACATTACAACGGCAAATTAGATGCACATGATTAAATAAAATATTGCAATATGTATGACCTTAATAAATGTCCTCTTTACACAACAATACTAATAATAACAACTTAACATTAATGTCTCATTCAAAACAATGACTGAAACAAATAAGATAAGTAATGAAAAATCAGTTTCTCATTCAGAAATAATAAAAACTTACCTATACTAGTAAATAAACAAGAATTGTCTGATGGGACCACCTTCTTCATTAAAATGCCTGGTCTACAAGGAACTAAAGTTTCGTGTGACGCAACACCGTTCTCAACAGGTTTGGACTCTGCAGACGAAGTGACAGACGGAGCCGCAGATTTCTCTTCAACTATGAGGGTCTCTCCAGTTTTCAAACCAATGTCACTAAGTTTTTGACTGTCATTACTTATATCCAGCGGCTTTGGCGGATATCCACACAAAACACTCACTCTCTCGATGCTAACGTCTGATATACTCGACAAAAACATCTTCAATTCGCCCACGGTGCTATCAGAGGTCAAATCTTTAAGTATTTGTTGACCATTTTTACTTTTAACTTTAAACGCCAACGCAGTCATTTTAATGAAATAAACGTTTTGTAAGTAATATAATACGTGTTCAGTTTAGTTTGTCGTAATTAGGTCAAAAAGACGCTACTAAAGATGAAATAAATAAATTACTAGATTTGACTTTTTCTTTTTGAAATGACAAAACAATTAGTTGACGTTTAGGTGAATGTTGCCATGGCAAAATAATTGTGAACTACAGATTATATAGGCGATATATAAAAATAAATAAAAAGGCAAGAAAGGTATAAAAACAATCACTTTGTATAATTTTATTCCGCATTTCGTGTAGTTATGTGAAAATAATAAAAAAGAATGGAAAATTAAATAAACAAGTGCAGAAATTGGGTTTCACTAGGGAAAGTGAGAAAAAGAATATTCTTTTTCTCACTTTTAGGAACTCAGGAACAATATTGTTCCCATGGCAAATGTTTACTTAGTGTTTATTACGGGTAGGAAAAACAAAAATACGTTTCGATGCAAAAAGTTAGCATTCTAACTGTATCCCAACAAAGAAGTCAACTGGAACAACAATATAAAAGTCATAAAATTAGGGAAATGATAAATTTGTAGTGTGCAGGAATCGAACCCGACACGCTTTTTTTTATTTATTTATTTTAATTATTAGAGTAACCAACAGCTATATTACAAAGAATAAAATTTCAGAATATGCTAATACAAAGCCAATTATAGGTTTACACGGCTAGCTATAGTATATCTTTCAGAGGTTTTGCGAATGCAATGCACATAAAAGTATAAAACATGGATATTCATTCAAAAAATTTAAGGTTTAGTCGCCTACGCACCTTGGAACTGTTTGTGGTGTATGTATCAAGTCCTGAATCACTCGCACAATATAGGAATTTTGTCTATAATTTGAGGAAGAAGTTGGGACAGCAATTGGTGGGTTAAATCGAACCAACTTTTTCGGAACATTAAATGACAGTTTATGCAAAAGGTCTGAGCAATCGATTTCGCTATTCAGTATCTTCGCATCATCTTTATTCAGTATAATTATATATAATTATATATTTTCAGTATGTATCTTGGCAAATTTTCAAAGTATAGTCAGTTGATCAATGACTCAGCTGGCTTAAAAGTAAGTATTACCTTGTACAGTGGCATTAAGTGCCGTAATGTACACCTCAGTTTGCCTATCCTTTCGGGGATAAAAGGCATGTGATGTTATGTTATGTATATTCTTACATAGTCTTATTTCGCTTTGTAAGCGTTCCGTACATGTGGTTAATTTTTATCAATGTTCGAGTTCATGGGGAGCAAGGTATAAAAATAATCAAACAAAGTACATTTCATTCCATTTTAATAAAAATAACATTCCTACGTATAAATATTCATAATTAAGTTACAAAACACTATCCTAATTTACTCTATGGCATTTTAACAGTAACTAAGTATTCCATATATTGGCACAATAACAACTAATAACATAGTTTATGACTTTAATAATTATGTAATTACGGTAATGTTAACCTGATCGTCTCAAATCAACAGGAATAAAAAAAATAGTTACAAAAATTGTAACATTCCGTTTTCGTCTTTGTGTTCTTAGCAATTAAGTACAAAATAATATAAAATCAAAATTACTCAATGAGAGACTGGCGATACCTACATCTTATTTAAAGAAAATAAAAATCTTTGGAAGTTATCAAAATAATATTCTTGTGTTACTTCTTAGAAAAAAAATGTGGAGATCTTAAAATAATAATATCTAATTATTAATCGTCTAAAATATTTGGTTTCGTGTACTTTACATTAAAACAAGAAGTAAGTTAAAAATGTAACGAGTAAGTATTGATTTCTGCTTGCCAAAATAATCAAACACCCACTTAATATTCAGGAAAATGCTTATTCAATAGTATACAATATACAATCAATGTATTCACGTTTTGATATGAATTGAACACCTATTATAAAATAACTTTTTACATCTTAAACTAGGACTTATAATTATATATTGTCTCAAATTCTATCTTCTAATTTACATTAATGTATATAAATGCATGTAAATGATTCTATGTGCGCTTGTCTAACATTTATTAGCAGTTACAATAACTTCGTCTTGAAAATACATAGTAAAAATGCAAACAACGTTATGTAAAAAACTGTTACTAATGAGAGCTACGAACATTTCTTTGGTAATAGGTTATGTAATAATTATGATAATAAATAACATCACTTATAAGGATAATGCGATTCATACATAATCTCGTACGAGTATTACAATGGTAACCACTATTTTAAGTAATAGACCTAAATTAGACTAGGAATATTAATTTATTTACATTTTTATTCAGTCGTAAAAAATAACGTTTCAAAATAGTGTCTTTATTGATGCTTTATCGCAACTGTTTTAATAGCAACTGACCGCATTGCGCTACTATAAAATTAGTAAAAAAAGAAAAACTAGCATTACAAAAAATAGCTTGTTACAAAATTGTACTTAAATTGTTTATAAATTATGGCAACTATGAATTCTAAACGTCAAAATTTCGCGGGCTACAGCGTTACATAGTTTTCTAACAGTGTTGCCAAATTATAAAAGTAATGTTGTAATCTGTAAAACTGATTAGGTTCGGCTATTGCGGTGCGGTCGGCGATGTCGCGGATGTCGGGGTAGCGGCCAGCGTCACGTAGGACGACGTACGAAGCGAGGCATGGAAGCTCGCAAGCCCCTCCTGCCGACCACTAAAGGGGGCATCCTCTCATCTTCCTCTTCATCATACTCAGCGCCTTCCAAGCTGTCCTCTTCACTCCACACGGGTTTCACCATCTGATATGATGCTGAGAAGCCTTTGAACACCAGAGAATCGTCTGTACGGAACCTGATAAGGAGGGCTTCGGAAGTTGATACTATTTCAGGTGGCATCTGCAACAATTTAAGTAGGTATATTAAAATAAAGCTAGAAGCTTTTTTTAGATTAAATATTTTTATTTGCTGAGAGAGCTGGATGCTTTCCATCTTCTATTTCCCTTACCTTAGTTCCACAGAAGGTACCATAGTTCCCTCCACTGCCGTCTAATCCTCCAAACACTTGCACGTAATCGTAGTGGCAGTTGGCTTCTGGTTCCAGCTCGAATGTCAAGAAGGTGAGCTTCACGAAGTGGTTGCGAGGAGCTTCGATGTTCCAGTCGCAGTTGGCCCGAGATTCATACGCGTTGTCGCCGTAACGAGCGTGTGAGTATAAGTGTTGCACTGCCTCTGTTGCTGCCAGGTAGCCACCACAAGCTGTTCGAAAGGAAATAAATACAAAGTTGGTAATGTTTTTAAATGGAAAGAAAAAAGTGGTCGACTACTAAGAATGGGTAAAGATTTCGTAGCACTTTCTGGCAATCCCCAAAAACTTATGTTTGATCTTTTTTGGTGGTGATGAGTTTATGAAAATTGTTGTTATCAAAATCAGGGTCATAGAGGTAATTTGATTAAACTTACCAGTGGAATGATTAGCGAGGAAACCGCTTCTTTGTACAGAACCATCGGATTTGAAGACCACATACATCTGGTTCTGAGACGCTACGATTGGATGTGGCAGCCTGTTCCCACAGAAAAGACCAAGCGTCTTCTCGTCTGCTGACGCGCCATCATACAAAGTCACGTAGTCGTAAGCGCATTCCTAGTGAAAGAGACGTAATTTGGTAAGAAGTTGTTGGAAAATGGATTGTTTTAGGTAAAAATATTATTATTTTATACGTACTGGATGTGGTTCCAACTCAAACTTCTGGAAGACTAGTTTGATCCTGTGGCCCGGTGTTGTGGAGAATTGCCACACGCAGTCTTTCCGAGGCGGGTACGTCGCAGGGTAGTTTGGACTGAGGAATAAAGATAAAATTGTTTGAATACATAAGATGCCATTGTACAGAAATCTAGTCTTCATGTTAAATAGAAAAATCATAAAAGACCAATTTACCTGAATATGGTGCCATGTGGCTGCGTGACGTCATGTTTGCAGCCTCCTTCCTTACAGTCGTGTGCGTTGGCGTGTAATGTAAAGCCACTGTAGCAGGCACACTCGTACCCGCCGAGGGTATTGCGACATTCATGTTGACATCCTCCGTTATTCTCCGCGCATTCATCCACGTCGATGTAGTAAGCTGCTGCAAATCCTGACCGGTGCACCGAGCCGTCTGATGTGAACTGGATAGTTCAAATGTTATGGTTTAATTTTTTGTAGAGTAGGTGTTTTTGACGTAATAGTATTAGCGCTCTATCTTGTCTACTTTATGGTTTTGCTAAAGCTTATTTGAAAAGCTTATGTTTCTGACAGAATTGGTCAGGTCATTTGTTGAAATAGAACCTATAGTACGATATCTGGAACCATTTCTTTTAATATTTAGGTAAAGTTGACAAATATCAAATACTTCCTGAATTCTTCGTAATGCCTACAGGCAAATTAAGAAGGAGATACCCACCTGAACTCTTAATACAGATCCATCAGACGTCACAGGCGGTGGCAGCGCAGATCCGCAGAAGACTCCATGTCGCCTCAACACGTCAGCTCCCAACTTGGAGTGTACCGTCACACTGTCGTACTCACATTCCTGGAAATACATAAACTTTTCCTGTGACTATGAGTAATACTTTTGGCTTAGGACCAGGAGAGACTTACAACATAGAATTTTGAAAAATGAATACGAAATGGATGATGAATAAAATTAAATATTGATTGATGAGAACTAAACGGTTGAATGGGACAAAATGGAATAAGCGACCACAAAATAAAACTTAAAGTACCTAATGACTGTTAGGTCTATTTTGAAAAGTAAACGAAATGTGTCGCTTTTTGAGGTCTAACTGGCTTTAAGACTAGCTGTCTTAATATATACACAGATGTTAGGGTCATAACATCTAGCATCCAGTCGTATTTTCAATTTAAGACCAAATGGAGTAAAAATTCTCTTTTTATAAGCTAAAAATTACCTGTTGGTACATGTTGTTGCCTTCCAAATCGAAATGTGTGAAGTTCAACGTAATCCTGTGTTGTGGTGGGGCTACAATCTCCCATAGGCAGTTCTTTGAAGGTGGGTACAGGTCAGGAAACGACGGTGACGTTATTGTTCCGTTTGGTGAGTATAGGGATCCTCCACAAGCATCTATAAATGGGTTAAGAGGATTTAGGAACATAGACATCATTTTATGTTAATGAATATCTTCTCTTATCTGATGACGTTTGATTTTGAGTACCTAATGCTAAGTATAATAAAACTTTTTTCAAACTAGGGCGAAAGAGAATGAGGAATATTTCCATTTAGAAACATTCTAGCACTTCAATAATGTTAAATGTACCGCTAGTTACTTTTATCACATTAAACACCATGGGGTCACAGATGACCGACATTAGCGGAGGATTTGTCTTCAAAAGTTTTTGCAGCAGTGAAAACCTTATAGAAATGGTAACAGTCCATAGAATTTTTTCTACGACTTTGAATCTTTTTTTTTTCTTATTCTATGAATGAACCACTTTTTACAGTCAATTTACAGATTTTTTTCTAAACATAAAATAGTCTACTTACTTTCACACTTCTTCCCATCCGAATGTAGCTCGTATCCAATATCACATGCACATTCATACCCTCCGAGGGTGTTGACACAAGAGTGACTGCATCCATGTTCTATAGAAGCGCACTCATCGAACTCTTTCATGAAAGTCGCGGAGAAGCCAGCCTTCTGGACTGTACTGTCCGATTCGAAGATAACCAATAGTTTGTTGGATGTAGACCTAAAATGGAATAATATCAATGTTTAGTTTTAATCCCAGATTACGTACAGTTTTATAAACAGTTAAAAATTTTGCATATACGCTAAGATAAAAATGGCTTTGTTTTATTTTTTTTTAAACGTTGCCCTCCATATTAGGATTTTCTCCTGTGTCGTGGGTGCGTTTACAAACACACAAATTCATATACACAATGACACCCAGACCCGGAACAACAATTTGTGGATCACAAGTGTTGTTCCGTGCGGGAATAAAACCCGCGACACGTTCCACGGCAGCCGGTTGCCCAGCCACCGCACCAACAGTGCAGTCAACTTTGTTGTGTTTATTTCTTAATTATCTCAGAGTACCTATTATTAAAAACGATAGAAATTTTAATATGAACGTACCTGATATCAGGAGGTATTTTATGTCCACAGAACATACCGATGAGCGGACTATCCATGGAGTCACCGTCCCTAACTTTGACTTTGTCGTAGGAACACGTATCGTGGTTCTCAACTTCGAAAGAGTGGAAGCGAAGAGCTACTTGGTAGTCCTGGAAGAAAATATTATGATAATAACTGAGATATTATTGAGATAAGTTTAAAGCAACGGAATTTTTTGAATAAAGTTGTTACTAAAACTGTTAATCACATAATTTTGTATGTATTTAGGTATTTTAATTACGTGTTATAGCTAAAAATATATGTGGCGCCCAACATGGGACTCCACAAGGTACCTAATTACCTGTGGTACAGAAAGTCTCCAAATGCAGAGCTTGTTGGGTTGATAGTCATCAGGATAGTTCGGTGACTCCAGATGACCTGTGCTGTCCACTTCTATATCTCCTCCACATACAGCTGCAAATAAACGTATTTAATGTTAACTAGGTACAAGTTCAGAAACTAAACAGAAGATTTTTGTATTAGTCTAATAACTGGAGCACCGTAGGTAGAACATATACCTATACCGACCTCACCTACCTTTTGGGTGATTTTTTTTATGGCATAAGCCGGTATACAAGCAGACGGATCACCTGATGGTAAGCAATCGGCATCGCCCATGGACACCTGGAACACCAGAGGTGTTACAAGTGCGCTACCGGCCTTTTGGGGATTAGGAGTTTGAGGATCGTTGGAGATTCAGGAATTTGGGAGATTGGGGAAGGGGAGGGTAATTGGGTCTCCGGTAACCTCACTAAATTAGCCTTATTTGCGACGCATCTTGTTATTTTAAATAGTTTATTGTGTGTACATTATTTTGCTGTAGTTTTAGTTGATCAATGGTTAATCAATAATGCCTCTTTAATATGGATTGAAAAGGGCATACCCGCCATTAAGATTTAAATTAATCAAACTCATCAGTCGAAAAGTTTAGCCAAAAGATAAGTGACGTGTCTGGGCTTATTTTATAAGTACTGTCATAATATTCAATAGTTGGAGAGCTTCAAAATGATGCCTCTTTAAAATATTCGCATTTGGTTTTCTTAACGATTTTAGTTCATCACAAGTGTACCAACTTTTCGCTATATTAGAGAGGTAAGTTGGTAATGTGTTATTATTAATTAATGTTTTATCTGATAATGCCCGCTCTGATAATTAACATAACATAACATTACGCCTTTTATCCCCGAAGGGGTAAGCAGAGGTGCACATTATACCACTGTACAATGAAACACCCACTTTTCACTATTTATGTTATAAGTCCCATGTAATAGGGGGTGAGCCTATTGCCATATACCGGGCACAATTCCAGACTCCGTGCTACTACTGAGAATTATTTAAAAACCCAGTAATACTTTGTCCGACCCGGGAATCGAACCCGAGACCCCTTGCCCGGTAGTCGCACTTGCGACCACTCGGCCAACGAGGCAGTATGGCTTCTAGTCTAGTCTATATATCTGACGAAAGTCATTAACATATAAATATACTTCAGACAATGAGTGGACTTAATGCATCAAACCTAACTTTGATCTTAGGTATATTTATTGGTAAAGTGTATATAGGAACATAACCGATGGAGAATATAATGGCCTTTTTTCTTTGCTGTCTCAGTAAAATCTATGATTATAATTATCATAATCTTTATCGTTACTTTCATAATTAAAAGAAAAATCATTTCACTTACCTTCATAGAACGCCCTGAAACCCCTATGAGGTTTCGGTCTCGGTCCAGGTTGGTACACAACAGTTAGTCTTGAGCCGGTGGACCTCATCATAGGTCCTTTGCCTGAACCACAGACCCTGCCCAGTACTGGAGCGTCTGGCATGTACCCGTCCCTTACTTCCACCCACTCTGACCTGCAGTCTTCCGACTTGTGAATGTCGATTTCTGTGAGAGAAAATAGAATTTTAACTAACACAATTTTGTGATAACCCAAGTTATGTCCTTCTGGAAGTACAGATACTGACAAAGCATATTCCGATCCTCATGGCGATAGTAAAATAATAGATCATTTTTCATATCTATTATAAAATTTACTCTAACGACAAACGCGTGGATTATTTATTTTTAACTGTGTAACGTTTTGGCTTGTGTTGTAAAATTATGCATGTGCTTATAAATAAATAAATAAATAAATAATAAATAGCCCAACAACACACAATCTGTGAATATTGTTTTAATTTTTCTCCACTATACGCAACTGACGAGAATTATACTAGACGTACTATTTGCCCTACACCAGACAAAAACGACATTAACTAATATATGTTATGTTATCTAACCTAATGACCATTCCAAAATTGCTGAATGCAACCGTATGTATTTACCTACTTTGTATTCACTACACATTATAGCGTATATAGATCTACTGATTAAGTTGCAATCACATCACGGTCAATTCCAATTAGACTAATCGACTTTATAAGACATATTACTGTGTATGTAGCTATACAAATAGTACAGGTGCAATCCGTAACTCTTGCTCTGACAATAATCCGATAGAACGGCAATCTGAGACGAGCGGGAAAGGGTTACGTCAAAGATCGACAGGTTTACGGACTTTCAGGAGACATAGTTGAGAACAACAAGAGACAATGTAGTGAAACATAGTTGATATAGGTGCTGTAGTTAGACTCAGTACGTTGTTATGTTATAGGTAAGATAAAGTCATAGAAAAAACACTTAAGAATTTTTATAATCCCTGAGATTCCTGAAGTGAAGTGTAAATTTATTTTCCAGTGGTTTTTTCTAAATCAATGTGTATTCCTTTATTAGTTTATTTTGGTAGAATTAATGTTTTATTTGGTCTATAGAGAATCGGCTCGTCTTCGCATGAATGCAATATCGTCCTGTACCGATGGACATTCCAATTAAAATGTTACGCTTGTTCTGTTAGTTATGAATGCAAAAAAATTATCGTCGAAATTGGTAGTAAAATGTATGGGATTTAATTCTTATATGTTGGATTAAAGCATATAAGAACTGGTACACTGAATACGTTTTATAAATGTCTCGCGACTTCGAATTACAATACACTCTATTGTTATAACAGTAGGTATAACAGACGGTAATTAAAGTGTTGGAGAGACATGCTTCGGCACAAATGGGCCGAACCCAAAACCGACGTGAAACAACGCTTGCGTTATGTTTCCTCGTGTGAATGAGGTTACTGAAGGCCCGATACTCCTCCCCAGTCTCCCCAATCCCCGAATCCCCCACAATCCTCAAATTCACAATTCCCAAAAGGCCGGTAACGCACTTGTAACGCCTTTGGTGTTTTAGGTGTCCATGGGCGACGCCGATTGCTTACCATCAGTTGATCCGTCTGCTCGTTTACCGGCTTATCCCAAAAGTTATCTCACAGAAATTCATGACATTCAAATAACAAAATCATTTTGTTCTTACTGGTCTAGTTATGTCATAACAAAAATAAATACGTAGATATGATTTTCTATAAAGATCATAATTTTAATCAAGCAAAAAATACCTTCGTATCAACATTCATCTTATTTATTAAATGGAAAATCTTTTGGTACCATCTCGTAAACATGTTCATCGAAATATTACCCAACGAAATAACTTCAAAGTACTTCATAATAGGTCCTTTTCGTTTTATATTCTTATTACACACGATCGATTGGTTCGTCGGGTACGTGTGTGTTTGATGTTACGATATTTTGACGAAACCGAGTGAATATTAAAAGATGACTGATATTGGGGCCGAGTTCACTCAACTGTACTGTTTTGATTTTGTATTTGGTTGAAACTGGAAATGAAATGAATGTTAGATAAATGCTCGTTCGAATAGATTTTACGTGATTATAGACTTTATTGTAAAGAAGAAATATTTAATTGTTTGCATTGAATATACTTCAAAACAATGGAACTACAGGACGGATTTGTGATTTTTTTAAGGAGCTTACTTTAGGAACTAACCTAGGATACCTACTTTTTTATAACCATATTCATACAGTATGGGGACCTCAACTTACTCGAGTCGAAGTCTATTTTCTACGTGGTCTTAGTCGCGGACGGATAGGTACCTACTAAGGGCCGATTTATCTAACGCCAGATAAATTTTAACTCAGGAATAACTTCGAATAATTGACACTTCTGCCGTACTTAAAATTGTCTAATGTCAATTTTCTTCTACAGGAATTAACTGAGAATTGAAAAATCGGCCATAAGTTGATTGATAAAATTAAACTTAATAGATTTATAAATACACAGTAAAGGTGCTTGAAACCAAAGAAGTTTGTATTAGTTTGTACCCCTATCCCAGAAGAAGTCCAAAAACGAATGACTTCACTAGAGAAGTTCTAAAATCCTTCTTAAATACCTAAATGATGGTTACTTACTGGCATTTTCAGCTAAATAAGTACGTGTTACGTCAATTTTCATTTGGAACTCCTGGCTGATGAAGCGAGCAATCAATCAACTGGCCAGTTCATCAGCTAATTGATGGCCAAACAGCTACAGCGAAGATGTGGCTGTACCTACGTCTGTTTGTGGATATCTGTGGTTTAGGTAGTAGTTTTTAGTTTTTATTTGACTTTACCTATGTTTTCGTTTTGTACCGAAAGGTTTAAGTGGAATGGTATGAAGTAAGTAAGTGAATCTTTCTAGTTTATTTTTCCATTGTAAGGTTCGTATATTGTCTAATAATTTCGTGTTCAAAAAATTGTCAATTGGGAGTAATGACAGGGTATGAAACTTAAAAATATAATTAGTCAGTAAGTTAGGTAATTAAAAAATATTAGACACGTATTTTTTGTTTTGTCGTATAATAAAACTACACTTAGATAAAACGAATCAAAGTTTAGGAATGAGGGTTAAAACGTCATTTCTACGTATAAAATGTACATAGAAGTGACGTCACGCGACATTTCTAATCAATGTATCGTCGAAAGTATTCGTTTCTGTAAGAAAATAAAAAATACGTGTCTAATGATTTAAAATTAAAATAAAAATTAGGCACTACTACTACCCTATTATGATTAAGTAACTTTTGTCAGCGGCTTTGTCCGCGATCTCGTGGGATAAAAAATGGCCTACCTATGTGTTATTGCAGACCATAATCTACCCCAGTTCCAAATTTTATCTCGATCCCTTTAGCCGTTTTGACGTGAATGAGTAACAAACACACTCACCTCAAAAACTTAAGTAATGTATAATTTAGTCACGGCGCATCAATTTTCCCAACTACCTACTGCCTATCTGGCTGAACAGGAAAGCTATACAGGATATCTTCAGGGATACTACACAAAAACCACTGAACTATATATCACAACATATATTGTATGATTGTATATATTGTATGTTATGTGATTGTGGGTACCTATAACTAATTTAAAATACGATGTAGGGTTTAACAATAGTAGGTATTAGTAAAAAGTAAGATATTTGAAAATGCTTCATTTACTTCATAAAATGTATAACAACGGTATGTAAAAATGTATTGGCAAGAGAGAGAAACAAAATCTTGTCATTAAGGACCCTTTTTCAGTATATTTATGGGTTCCGGTAAGACTAGTTGGCAAGCGCCAAGCTCGGTACCTGCTATTTTAACCCGTAGTCCGTAGTCCACCCCATCCAATTCGTAGCACAATAAATCACGGGTAACTCGCCTTTGTTTTTCTTTTTCAACCCTCTAAAGTTTAATTGATGATGTTTTTTGAGTACTCTTACTTACATTATAGTTCTAAAAATCTTAAAAGATAAATTAATGTAACTTTGAGAGCTGGCCACATGATAAGAGGTCACGATAAATGGAGTAAGAAAGTAACAGTATGGTGCCCAAGGGAAGGAAAAAGGAAGAGAGGGAGACCGCAGAAACGATGGGACGATGACATTAAAGAGGTGGCAGGTGTGACGTGGAACAGAGTGGCTCAAGTAAGGACAGAATGGAAAAGGTTGGAGGAGGCCTTTGCCGATTGGCAAACAGATCTGTAAATGATCGCCAAACAACAAGTAATAGATTAATTTTTAACTTTAAGTTGCTTTTAAATGTAAGTGTAACGTAATGTAAGTTAAGGATCTGAATAAAAGGCTATATTATTATTTACATCTGAACGAATTCGCGGGTAGCTAGTCCAACCATATGTCAGCTGAATAAATCTGAATCTATCTCTTGCTTATACAATATTAGATACGTATATAAAATACGGATCTTGTAAGACATTTTTGGGGTTTTTTCCTACATAATGTAGAGAGGAAATTGGTCGAAAGTTTTGAACTTATAAATAGATCAATCCAGCCTTATTGTAAACTAGCTGTTGCCCGCGACCTCGTCCGCGTAGAATATGATTCCTGTTTCATCCCATGGAAGCATTTAATCGGGATAACAATCCTATTATCTACGTCAGCCCATACTCTGCCTGTATACCAAATTTCATCAAAATCCGTTTAGTAGTTTCAGCGTGTTTGACGGACAAACATACAAACAAAGAAACTTTCACACTTGTAATATTTGTGTGATAACACACTATAGAAAGAAATGTAAATACAAGCCACTTTACTTGTCGATATAATAATTATCAATTGTGTGGGAGAGCCATGCACGAATGGCCCGGCTCGAGCGGAGTGATACCACCGGCCTCACAGAAAACCGACGTGAAACAACGTTTGCGTTGTGTTTCGTCGTGTGAGTGACGTTACCGGAGGCCCAATTACCCTCCCCTTCCCCAATCTCCCCAATTCCTGAATCCCAAACGATCCTCAAACTCCTAATCCCCAAAAGGCCGGTAACGCACTTGTAACGCCTCTGGTGTTCCAGGTGTCCATAAGCGACGCCGATTGCTTATCATCAGGTGATCCATTTGCACGTTTACCGGCTTATGCCATACAAATCTATCTCACATACCTAATTGCAAATGATCCACAAGAAC